TAATATGAGGTGACAGTTCTATTGCGTTTTTGTAGCACTTGACTACATAGCTTCAATACTATTTTTTAAAATCATAATGGTATAAGCTAGGTTTCACCGGGTGGTGGTGATGTGACAATGACAACGATAATGTCACCATTAGGCAAGAAAAGTTTAATTTAGGAAGTGTATTCCAGGAGTGTGTTAAAACAAATCCACAAAATAATGATACCTTTATTGTCCAGCCAAAATGTACAAAACACTTGATGCAAGTTTTTGATGCTGTGCTAGGTTCTTCTTCAGGCAAAAGATGTTAAAATAAGAAAAGTGATGAAATTTCGGTTATTGGCCCACATTATGTCTTGGATGTAGCCTCTGTTAAGGACAGGCTCAACTATCTTATTTTGCTTTCAGTAGTAGTAGTAGTAACAACAACAACAGCAGGAGCAACAACAACAACAATAATATTTCGTAGCTGTCTCTCTTCGTAGGCAGGAGTAACCACCCCCCAAGGGAACCTAAGTGTCCGAGGCATACTATAAGGGAGAAGGTGATCCTGTAGGTCTTCTGGACCCAAACCATGTGGGGCTTTAAAGGTCAAAACTTGGTCCAAAGGTAGCCCAATGTAAAGCACATTTAAAAAGTCCAACCTTGAGGTTATCAGTGTGTGCACTGCCATCTATTATTACTAATTCATTTCATTTATCCTTTTAACAACAATAACAACAACAACTTTATTTTTGTATCCTGCCTCCATCTCCCCAAAGGACTTGGAGTGGTTTACATGGGAACAAGCCTAATCAACATAGTTAAAATAACACATTAAAATTAATAAAACAACAACATAAAGCAAAATAAAAACAAAAACTAACAGATAATAGAATAATAGTATATTACAGCCAAACTGTATTCCCTCAAAGACTTTTTGAAAAGGCATTGTGGTATTGTGATGTTGTGTTGATTTTTTAAAAAAACAAGTCTGTTTACCAGTCTGCAGTGGGAGGATTGCTCTTCGTGTCTCCTTTTTTCACATAAATCACAGAGTGTTGATTGCCATTCCCTTGCTTTCTAGAATATCCTTGCAGTAATCAGATATGTAAATATTTAGACTGGGAAGAAAAGCTTCAGAGTGAATGTTAGGTAAAGTTCAATTGCCCTTCTCTGGTAAGCAGAATATTACACATTTCCAAAAGCATAGTTTGTCATGGTTGGAAAGAAAAGAGAATATATTATAATGGATGTGATGCTTGCTTCCCCATCTCTTTTTTTCATGTTTCCTCCAGGAGAAGCACACATGAGTCATCCCTTGGCTTTCCAGAAAACCAAGATCAGGGTTGGAGATATTATACAAAATGCTTGGCATGCAAGGGAACTGTTTTTTCCTTCTTGTTTTTCCTCACAAGTAAATCCATGGGGTCTGCTCTGAATTAGATGCCCCATATATAAATAGGGGAGGGTTTAAACCCCCAACTAAGCCTTTTCCCCTTTTAAAGACCCCACTCACCACTCACCATTCCACTGGTACTTTAGATGTTGGAGCTTCCTGTGAACTCCGCAGGTAAGCAAGTCAATGACAATGAACTATTTCAATTTTGTCATTTTATTCATTGAAGATATTATTTATATATTGCCTTTCAACAAAAAAATTTCCCAGTGGAGTACACACTATAAAATCGGTAACAATTAAAACATTCCAAACATTTGTACAAGTTTTCCACATACATTCCCCATACAGATTTCCTTGAGAGTTGCAGGCCTCCTTATGAAAATCGTATCAGCAGTCCTTGACTCCATGAACCGGGAACAGGGAACATGTAGCCGCCCAGATGTTACTGAACTATAGCACCCATAAGTCTCACCAAGCATGAGCAGTAGCCAAGAACTATGGGGATCCCTGTAAGGCTCTTGGTTGTGAAACTCATCTTCCCATGCTTCTTGTTCCTATTCCTTCCAGGTGAGATAAGGTGTTCACATCTAAGGAAGACAAGTATTTCTTATCATCGAATATCAGCTACTCTTGAAGATATCTACATTCACTTGCAATACTTTTTGCTGTTAAAATTAGACAGTGAGAGAGTGGGAGAGACTCGCATCACCCTGCTTCTATGTGACTAAGGGTGCATCTACACCCTATTCAAAGTGACCAATTGAAACATTCACACCTAGCTCCAACAGACAAGAGTACTATCTCCCACCCTGGAGTTTCCACAGATACACCCAAATTTCCTAGTTTACAACAAACCTCACAACCTCTGAGGATGCTTGCCACAGATGCAGGCGAAACATCAGAAGAAAATGCTTCTAGAACATGGCCATACAGCCCAAAAAACCTACAACAACCCACTATTTATGATGTTTCTACTTTCATGAGGTTCTACTCCCATAACACCTTTGAAATCAATGGCTGGTTGCACATAGAAATGAAAATATACAGAGAACTCAGCTATATATTTGAAGTTCTCTTGATTTAAGAGGGTTTGGGAGATATTAAATGATCCATTGATTTTAATTAAACTTTCAATTGAAGAAGTGAAAAAAGGTAATAGATAGTGGGATATAAATTAAATACTAGCTTCACATAGCTGTCAGACAAGAATTAGCTCATAGTCCGCCCGTCTTGGGCTTAACACACATAGTTTGCCTTCTCTCACTTAGGGTCAAACTTGATGTGACACTAATTACATGAGAATTTACAGGTTTACGCATGAATATATATCCATCTGGCTGTTTTGGCACATAGTTCCCCTTCAGCTTTGTTTCCACATGCTTGAACATCTAATTTTATTTCTTAATGTTTATCTACATAGTCACATCCCTGTCTATATGTTTTACTTTGCTGAGTGTATAGATACTGCATTGCAGGGAGACAGGTTCATTTCTGTGGTTAGTCAGTCTAAAACAGGATTTTCATCTGCACTTTAAAAGAGTAAGCCCTGCTAACAAAATGTTGCAAAACTTAATTTTGATCTTGATAATTGTCATACAGTGGGACTACGGTATCCTCAGGGGGTTACTTCCAGGATCCAGTGTGGGTAGCAAAAACCAAAAAAGCAACAACCCCTATTGCTGCTGGAGATTCCATTAATAAATGGCGTAGGATCGCAGCAGAGATGGTGCCAAACCCTGGCTGCCAGGCGTGCATTCTTTGGGCTTCTTCGCCTCTGGAAAGCATGCCACCCATCTGCTTCTGCCTTCAAGGTGGCAGTAGGGCTGCTTCTGCTTGTTCATCCAGTAGGCAGAAGTGAGTGCACGAAACATGAATGCCTGGCAGCAAGGCTTTGCCACCGCCTCTGCTGCTACCCAACATTATTTTATTAGTAAGGGGTTATATAACAAAGATCTTATTGTATTGTACTGATTTGAATCTCCTTGCTCCTCTGTCCTCTTTGCTTTGATAAAAAAATATGAGGAGCGGCATCCCCCCAATTCCTGAAAAACACAAGGTTGCAGAAAGATGCAAATGCAGGGCTGCAGAGAGATGCAAGGATTTGTGAATTGGTGGAAGGTGTAGTAGAGTCACACTAAGCTTAGATTCCCACAATTTCACATATTCTCTCATTTCTCTGTAGCTTCACTTTCTCGCCTTTCTGAAGCCTCATATCTCTTTGTAACTTCATAAATGTACTATTGTATATACTATATTACTTCTGTTGTGTAAAGTATTGTATATTGTGTTGTGTACACTACTGTAGTTTGAATCCATAGTTGGTTGATCCTGCAGGTCCTGAACCTATGGATATGGCGCCTCTACTGTAGTTAAGGCCAGCTTGACAGCAGTTAGCAACAATAAGTAAGGTCAACGAAATGAAATGTTTAGAAAACGAAAGCTAGTGAAAGGGCAAAAATCCCACAATGCTTTGAAAAGAAGTTTTCAAGTAGCTACAGAGCTCAAATAACATTTGCCTGATATGGAAGGTTTACCTAGCCAGAGTCACATTCAGATCACACAATTTTAGTACTATTATTCCATTTTAATTGCCCTGGTTTCATCCTTTGGAATCCCCTGGTTTGTAGTTTTATGAGTCAACGTAATGAGATACTATGCTGTACTCTTCCTCAAGCCTTGAGGAGAGGAGGGTAATTTTGTTATTGCTACTGCTGCTTATGTTGTTGCTGTTATTGTTATTGTGCCCTCTGGCTAAGAATTCTATACTCTCCTCCTTAAACTCACTGTTGCAGTATTCTATACAACCGAGCCGTAGCAGCTAAAGTGGAATCATATTACTATAATTCTATAATGTGAATAGTCCCCTAGATGTTTCATTTCACATGTGCACAATGTTTGCTTTGAACAAAAGATTTGTTTAAAGATGTTGCACTTCTCTTTTTAGGTGTCAGATCCTAACCCTATTTTCTTCATGATATTTCTTCCTCTAATACCACATTTTTGGTTACAGAAGGGAAACCTAGGAACACAAATACTTAATTAACCATGGTATACCTATATGGCTTTGGGCATTTAATTTGGGGGGGAAAAACACAACAAACTTTGATGCCCCCAACCTCTGCCCTACAAACTTACAGACTAAAATAGTGGTTCCCAACTTATGGTCTGTGGAACACCAGTGGTCCGCAAGAACTAACATATGGTCCACAGCCTCACGGTTATTGCTCCGTGGCAATGAGAGCAACTGGTTTCGTGAAACCCTTGTATAGTGCAGAGGCTTATTAAATATGGTTTTCTGTGGGCAAGCAGATGATGACTACTGGATGGCATATGGTCTATATCAGAAACTACAGCTTATGTGGACTATCCAATGCAATGTCCTGATTCTGCACCCCCAATAACCTAACCGAATCCAAAGTTCATCAAAAACTAATTTGTAACCCATTGGTACTAATATTGGAGAGTGATCCCTGGTCAAGTGATACCTGGTCAAAAAAGGGTTGGGAACCACTGGACTAAAAGGAGGAAAAATGGTTGAACAGCTTTTCTTGTGCAACCTTGTAAAAGAAAGGTTTCAAAATGTCTACTATTGTTACATCTTCCAAATATTACTATATTCTCCTTCCTTTTTCAGAGTTCTAGAATGCCAAGGATTACCAATTGTAAATGGTCAGTGTGATCCTTATGCAACGGTTACCTTAGCAGGACCATACAGGTTAGTAGAATTTGTTTTCTTATCTATTCTTGTTAAAGTTATCATTGCAGTATTTTTGCAATAAGCATTAAGAAAACATTTAAAAGATAAACAAAAGTAAAGCGGGAAAATTTGGAAGCTACTATTAACTTTGTGGGATTTTCTTTTCCAATATAGTGATACTTTCTCTGGCTGTGCTTAGAATAATAGTAATGTGTGTGTTTCTTAGCTTGTTAGAGTAGATCCACAGAATCAATAGGAGCTTGGTGTGTCTACACTTTACATAATTTCTATTGCTTTAGTGAGTCTCTTCTAGTTGAGACTAGAAATTAGATTTTAGCCCAATCTTGTAGCATCTTGAAGACGAAAAAGTTTTATTTGACATACACCTTTTGAGGATCATCGCCCACTTTCATTAAACACATTCATCAGATAAGTATACAGGGTGCTGCAAAACTATAATTAATAATTTCCTGGGATAATATTTTACTGCTAGGGTGAGAGAAGTGAGCCTTGCAGACTGCAGGTACTCCCCAGGACCTTTTTTGCAGCCTTCAGGATCTTTCAGTAAAAATAGGTTTTTGCAATGTGTAGTATGGAATACACTTTCAACACATTTGGAGACCCACTGAGATCTCCAGGTACCAAAGCATTTTGTGATTTTTTTTTACTGAAACTTTTTTTAAATCCTGGAATGCTCTAAAAATTTCTTTGGGAACATGGATGCATCCGGGGAGGCCTTTTTTGGTACCCAAAACATATACCCCAGAGGCAAGTGAAGACAAACCTCTTTTTAAGGAGCTGATGCAGCTAACTTCCACGACTGTCTAACTCAGGGGTCCTCAAACTTTTTAAACAGAGGGCCAGGTCACACTCCCTCAAACTGTTGGAGGGCCGGATTATAATTTGAAACAAATTTGAATGAATTCCTATGCACACTGCACATGTCAAGACCCAGAAGCCTTAAGTAGAGCCAAACACAAGATAAAGAGTTCAAACACAGCTTTATTGTACAAAAATAGTCTTTCAAAGCACTTAACTTCAGTGCAGAGAGTCAGAGCAGTAATTTGACATAAAAAACAAAGTAATATCAGTAACAAAAATATAACCCGGATTATAACGCTGTTTAATCCGGGTTAAACACAAAGTTCAGCAATCTGCTTAAAAATCTACACAATTCAAAAACACAGTCACAGAAGATGGAAAACAGAGTCCCAAAATGAAGCAATGTTCAAACACAAAATTAGCAAGGCAGTAAGTCCAAAAAGCCAAAAGCGTTGGTCAAACCAGTCCGTGGTCAAGCCATTGAGTAAGGTAAACACTGGAACGCAGGAATCACAGGAACACAGGAATCTGTAGTCCAAGGACCCAAGTTGGAGAGTTGACAGTAACAAAGATGTATGTCCCATAAAGACACTTTGCCTTCTGCAAAGAGCCATACATTCAGAACCCACTTTTATCCTACAGCTTTTATCCTAGAGGATGATGAGCTCCCCACCCTTTCCTCATCACTCTCAGCTGCCTCCAATCCCGCAGCTGAAACCGAGCGCGCATCCCTCCACCTCTGCCAGCGTCTGCCAAGACTTAGATCTTGCCAAGTGCTCCCCGGTTGCCAATCCCCTGTGAACCTCTCAAATTCATCACTGGAGGTGGGTTGGTTACAAATGTCCCTAATCTGTTGAACACGGGTCCGATCCAGCTCATTCTCCTCTCCCATATCACTCCCAGACCCATCACTTCTTCCAAAACCCCATGAAATCCTCGTCCTCTGTAGGAGCGCTAAGTATTTCCCGGATGCGCTTCCTCTGACGCTCCTCGTCGGACTCCAGATCGCAAGTAGCCCTCTTTACTCCCCTGCTCTCCTCCCCATCCCCCATTTCACAATCGGAGAAACCCTCAAACGTCTCAGAATCACTTGGGGCCATGATTATCTCCCTAATGCGCTTCCGCTGTTGTTGTTCCTCCTCCAACTCCTGCGCAGACCTCTTCTCCCTCCTACCAGTAGTAGGAACGTTACCATCATGCTGAACTACAACAGCACATCTTATTTGTAATGCAAAAAAACACTTACAAACAATACAATAATTAACATTAAGAACAATTTTAGCAAATATAAACTTAATAGTATTTCAATGAGAAGTGTGGGCCTACTTTTGGCAGATTAGATAGGATTGCTGCTGTGTGCTTTCAAGTCATTTCAGACTTAGGCTGACTTTGAGCGAGGGCCGGGTAAATGACCTTGGAGGGCTGGATTCGGGGCCCGGGCCTTAGTTTGAGGACCCCTGGTCTAACTGTACTTTAAGTTATAACAGAGTATATGTTCTGTCACCTAGGCCCCATTTACACTGCCATATAATGCAGTTTGAACTGCATTATACGATCACTGTAGCCTAGTGGTTCCCAACCTTTGGTTCTCCAGGTGTTTTGGACTCCAACTCCCAGAAATCCCAGCCAGTTTACCAGCTATTAAGAATTTTAGGAGCTTAAGACCAAAACATCTGAAGGGCCAATGGTTGGGAACCACTGCTGTAGACCCATATAATGCTGATTGAACTGCATTGAACTGGATTATATGAGTCTACACTGCCATATAATACAGTTCAGTCAGCATTATAATGACAGTGTAAATAGTGTCCTAGAAAGAGAATGCGCTATTGATAAATCCTACCACAACAAGAAGTAATTCAAAGTTTTCCTCACCATCATCACTTTCTGTGTCCAATGACATTGGAGAAGAGTCCTGCATTCATGTCCTTCTTCTGTTGGAGATGACAGTGAAGAAATCAGGAGATTCTATGATCACTTGAATGCAGAATTTCTTACTGTGGATATTGTTAGTGATGGTCAGTGTCTCTGCAGACATAAACATTAGTATCTTTTAAGTGTCAAATTAAAAGTATGTCATTTTTCCACTTGGGATTTTGACAGTCGTTGGTGTTAATATTCAGTACTTTCCACTCCCGCCCACCTGCTTGTTCTTAGTTATTTCAGTTTTTATTAATGCAATGCAGTTTTGTATGGCTATTTCCTGTTGTAGTGTGATTTTATTGGGGGGGGGGGGTTGTTGCAAAACACTGTGGAAACTAGTTGTGATTCCCTGAGCAAGGCAAAGTAGCATATGTGTTCTTAAATAAATGAAACATGACTGCTTTGGGCTCATGTAAATGTGGGACATACTGCTTTGGGCATTGTGTCTGTTTACATGCACTGGTTAAGGTAGACAAGATCAGAACAAATGTGTTCACAATCTCAATATGCAAGAGCCTGAGTTAAGTGCAGCACAGAGATAGGTTCAGGATTTGTTTGCTTTTAGAATAAGCAAAGGAGTACACCTTATAAGTGCAAAACAATTGGACATACTTTGTGTAATTCTGACCTATCATATTCTTTTGCTCCTACAGATCGGAAGCCAAAAAGACAAAAGTTAAGAAGAAGACAAACAATCCACAGTTTGATGAAGTGTTTTATTTTGAGGTTGGTATTTCAGAAGAATGGCTGATAAAATACCACACTTTCATAATTTTTAAAAGAGTCCTCCAAGTGGGGCCTGAAGTATCTAAGAAATAACTACTGAAACAAGAGCATCTTGCTTTTCCTGGGGAATGACGTTGTGCTTTTCTGTGTAGTTTTCCCTTAGCCTCCTTTGGCCCTTCTAAACTTGTCTTCCAACCTTTGAACCCGTGCTGATATGTGAATGCTTTCCAGACTGTGGTTTTTATAGCTGCTCCACCCTCTCTTTTTTGGTCAATAGTGGGAGAGTTGTTTCACAGGAAATGTAAAAAAGCTTTAAAAGCAATAGCAGCAACCAACTATTCAAAATGGACGGTATTGGTGGCTTGCCAGCATGCCGAAACACAAAAGCTTTCTCTTTGCTTATGTAGAAAACACTTCCATTCCATTGAAAACGCCTAGAATTTTGCCTAATAGAACTTTAACAAAAATGAATGAATGAATGAATGAAGGTAAAGCAAAGCCTAGCATCATTCAGAACTTTGTTTTTCCCATACACTTTTTTGATGTTGGCAATTTTTTTGTCTTCAGCAAATTATGTACAGAAATGTAATCCGAACACTGAAGTTCATGAGAATATGGGTTTTGACTGTGTGTGTCCTGAAAAATCTTGTTCGAAAGAGCTTGTTTATCATGATGTCTAAGTCCATTCTCAAATTGAAATAGCTGCTTTTGAAACTGTTGTGTACTGTATTGAAGTGCACATTGTTCTAGCCTCTTTTCTTACAAATCTGACCAGGGATTGGAAAGTTCCTTTTAAAGAGTATTTTATTACGTGAATTGTTGCAGTTCCCTGATCCTCTTCCCCCAGTAACCACTACTAAGCTATATTTTTGTTCAATACCCTAATTTGCTATTGTATGTGTGTGTGTGTAAAAAGTAAAGGTAAAGGTCATGTCCAACTCTGGGTGGTGGTGCTCATATCCATTTCTAAGCTGAAGAGATGGTGTTGTCTGTAAACGACTCCAAGGTCATGTGGCTGTCATGACTGCATGGAGTGCCATTACCTTCCTGCAGAAGCGGTACCTATTGATCTATTCATGTTTGCATGTTTTTGAACTGCTATGTTGGCAGAAGCTGGGGCTAACAGCGGGAGCTCACCTCGCTCCCTGGATTCGAGCCACTGACCTTACGGTCAGCAAGTTCAGCAGCTCAGTGGTTTAACCCGTTGTGCCATTGGGGGCTCCATATATGTATGTGTGTGTGTGTAAAAAGAGAGAGAGAGAGGCTACCACAGTAAAAGGCCACATTATTCATGTCTGTTCCTCTTCTCTTCTTCTCTATCTTAAAAGTTTAGTTGTTTGTTTGTTTTAGTGTTTTTGCTGTATGCCTTGAAGTCATTTCCAACTTATGGTGAGATTTGAACTATGGTGTTTGGAGTCTTATTCTAATACCCAGACTAATACCCCATTCTGGCTCTCACACTGTCTGTTACCACTAACCAGTTTGTGCCTTGTGAGTTCATACAAAATCAGTGAATCAGGAAAAAGCATTTAGTTAATATTACAGCGAACTAAGATGGACTAAATAGAATCCACCAATTCCAAATAAAAAATAATCAGATAAGAGGAAGGGGGAAATGTCATTCAACATGGACTTTTAGTGCTGCGTTATAACATGGCCAGACTGCCTAGAGTGGTAGCATAAGGATGAAGTAGATTTTACATCCTTGGTAAGAAAGTTGAGAGAACCAGCTGTGAAACATCTAGTCTACTGAAAAGATCTTGTCCAGGAGATAACTGAAGCACATTTAATCTTGGCGTCTCTGACCCATGCAAATGCACCTAACACTGCAAGCCTAGCTATAAGGTGGCACTGTATAGCAACTTGGCTTACATTATCTTCTTGTTTGTCTTCTGCTACTTTTAATTTTACTTTGTCTTTGCTGTTTGTGAAATATTTATTCATTCAAGGTAATGTTGAATTTAGACTATGCCTGCTGAATTGTCTAATGTAAATGCACTCATATTTTTTGTAACATTGTTTCAATGGGCTTTTGTTCCTAAAATGTGTTGCTGAATTTCAATAATAAGTTAATGTTTATTATAAGTCACTTTGGGCAAAGTCTATGAATACATTAAATTATACAATAATGTTTCTTGAGCAATAAATCTCACTGGGCTCAGTTTGGATAAATGTGAACAAGACTGTAGATAAGCAACTGGAAGAGAGCCAGTGCCCTTTCACACTGCACTGTGCAACACTGTGGTTTCACTTTGTCTTCCATGATGCAATTCCACGGAAGTATTGTATTTGTACTTTCATGAGATATTCGTAATTCTCAGCTAGAGAACTCTGGTGCCTCACTGCACAACAAACCCCAAGGTTCAGTAGGATATTGCCATAATACAGTAATTAAATATAGGATCTGTAGTCCTATAACTGTGTAGAGTGAAAAGCCCCCACTTGCTCTGCTTTTGACATATCTGTAACTAGAATTGGTGGCTACCAGAGGTAACAGGCACTTAAGGATAGGCAATCCTGTGATGTGATCAAAAATGTCTCTGGGAAATAACATTCAGGGCCAGCTCTAGGCTTTGCTTTTTGATTCCTGAGGTAAAGCATAAAATGGAGTGGCTACTCACATACCATGAGTATATCTTATCCATAACAGAGAAATCATTTTGTCAGATTAGGGGACACAACATTATTTTGGCATCACTGGGATTGAAAATACAGTCACAAAGTAAGTAACTCACAATTAATCACATTCAAATTTTGCTGCTTAACACACTGTTTCACTTTCCAGTAAGGCCAATTCTTATGACAATAGTTGTCTTTCTGTCATCAGACTTGAATTTATTTATTTATTCACCACATTTATTCTCCGCCGGAGACTCAGAGTGCCTTTACAGCAAGCAACAATCTGATGCTGCACAAATACATTAAAATCCAAAAACTTAAAAACATCAAACATTGAAACCAGTCATCAAAACCACACAGTCCTAAATCATAATCCAGAGCCATTCCATTTGTCATTGCACTATTTCGTATTCACTTATTGCACTTATCGAACGTTACTGACCAAAAGCTGGGTCCCATAGCCACAATTTTAGGTTTTTCCTGAAGGTCAGGAGGGGGGGAAACTGATCTAATTTCACTGGGGAAGAAGTTCCATAGATGAGGGGCCACCAGTGAGAAGGCCTTGTCTCTTGTTCCCACCAACCGCACCTGCAAGGATGTGGGACCAAGAGCAGGGCCTCCCCAGACGACCTTAACCTCTGAGGTAAATTATGAAGGGATAGGTTCGGACAGGTAAGCTGGGCCTCGATTGGTAAGATAACTCCAAAACATGGAAGGTTATTGGCAATTTTAAAGCTCTGATTGAATCAAATGTTTCCAGGATCTGCCATTTGTGTCAAGGGTAAATGTAGTTGAAATGAAATTAATTCTGCGAACAGCAGTGAAGGAGTTCTACCAATCAGTGCAATATATGTAGGACTGCGAGAACAATATGGCATATTGAGTTAGTATTCCCTCTGGCTCCAAGGTGTGTTTAAGTTAAACACATAATTCAGGACTCTTTGTTTCCAATGTCTCAAGTTCCCATTATTTTCTTCAGTAGCTGGCAATGGCTTTTAGCTGTCTATTTGTTTGGCTTTATATCTGGAACTGTTCTTTCTTTGGCAGTCTCTTCCTTTTACATTCAGTTGGCCTGCTGCTACTTAAAAATGAAAAAAAGTATAACAAATTTATTTTTGAGGGGAAAAATAATTTCTGACCACTAGAAACAACCTAAGTGTATAACAGGGAGGAGCCTTTGAACATGTTCACAACTTGGTCAGAATTGCCGTTGACTTCTGGTTGTGGTTACTACTGGGTGGGGTACCCGAATGGTAGTTTCAGTGTCCTAGGTTCGTTAGAAATGAAAACCTCAGAGCTTTTGTTGTTACCATTGAGTTATGAGAAAGATTTGTAGATAACCTCATATTTAAAGTAGCTTCCTCCTATGCTTTGTATATGCAGCTGCCGGTGAAGTTTTTGAAAAGCATTGTGAAGAGTGTTTTGAAGACAGGGAGAGAAGATAGTATCTCTGCATCTGTTCGGAAATTCAAAACTAGCTTTCAGGGGCATTTAATGCTGTCAAAGAGAGACAAATAAGATATCAAAGTAAACTGCAGAACATGTACTTTTGCCAACAGGAATATTGATTCTGCCAATTAATCTTCTCTAACAAGATAAATTTGGCCAAAGGGAGAGAAAAACAGAGATAAATGTGCTTCAGTCTTGAAATCTCCAGGGTGACTGAGTTTAAATACTCCAGCTTCAGTTGGTTGAAGTGGCTTTTCACAGACACAGTTTTAGATGGTGAGAAATTACAGAATAATTATAAATATTCTTATTGCTCCGGTCTTTAAAAATCCAGCATGCAAACATCTGTATGTTGCTTCTCACTCTCCATTGAGACTATTTTTACTTTCTTTTTGTTTTTTCTTCTCACAAGTAGCTCAGAATATTGTCTATTTTCTTTCTAGTTTTTTGTGTCTAACATTTTCATAGATGGCACGCACTCTTTACTATTATGGTTGATGATTGTCTTGTTTTATATTAGTTCCCCTTTAGCTGTATTGATTAGTAAGAGTTTCTATCATCCCTGAGAAACACACTGCAATTCATAAGGTTTCTATGCTTTAGAGGAGACTTTAATTTCAAAGTCACTTTCCCACAACCTATCATTGCTCTTCAATCTTAATATGCATTATGATTTTTTTCCTTGAATACTTTTTGCGTACATGGAAGCCTATTATGGAGTGAAACTTTAATGTTGAACCAGGGCAGCCAGAGGCCAAGTATAGCTCTTACCATTTGTGTTTCTGCCAAAAATGGGGCACCTTGAAGTTAAAATATATTTCCTGCTACCTGACTGAATATTCAGACTGGCCAACCCTTAAAACAGGTCCACCTGCACTAGATCCTTTTGCCTAGGCAGGATCTTTATAGAATGTGAGTACTTTGTCTTTCTGTGAGCAGATTTTGCCTGACTAAGCCCATTCTGCTTTCCGACTCCTAAAAACAAGCTTTTGGTTTCCTTGACTGTTTCTGGCCGATTCCAACCTTCATTTACTGATAAGTCTGTCATATCTATTTATTTATAGTTTCAAAAGCAAACCGAGGGTACAGTTGTAATGTATTTAAAAACACAAAGTTTAAAAAACTTGGTATTATACTAAATGTCCTTTGACCAGAAGCTGGCCACTTGGAGTGTCTCTAGTGTTGCTATAAGAAGGTCCTCCATTGTGCATGTGGCAGGACTCAGACTGCATTGTAATAGGTGGTCTGTGGTTTGCTCTTCTCCACACTCGCATGTCGTGGACTCCACTTTGTGCCCCCGTTTCTTAAGGTTGGCTCTGCACCTCATGGTGCCAGAGTGCAGTCTGTTTAGTGCCTTCCAAGTCACCCAGTCTTCTGTTTGCCCAGGAGGGAGTCTCTCATTCTGTAAAAGCCATGGCTTGAGGTTCTGGGTTTTAGCCTGTCATGGGGCATAGTAAGATAAGACATCAGACTAAAGAACTCAAGGACTGGGAGGTTGGAGGGAGGAGGAGGATGCGATGATGATGATGATGATGATGATGATGGAGCTTGGGTTACCGATACGAATGGTTTCATAAGGACATACCAAGAAAAACTATCAAGAACAGAAAATTGTACTAATTCTAGCAAATGAAGACCAGCATAGAAACACTCCCTTCTTTGCAACATCTTCTCTCTTAGAATTTGGGAAAGTGTAGGGAAGTAATTTTGGGAAGCTGTAGGGAAAGTGAAATTGTGTGTTGTGGAAGAATTAGCATTGCTATCGACAGATCAAGCTGAAATTTGGAGAGAGAAATTGGGATTGTCCTGTTTCTGCATTCTCTGTTTATAGATACTGTTTATATTGTTTATTCTAGCTAACTGAACAATTTGTATTCTTTTATCTCAATATTGATCAGATACTACAGTGGGCCCTTGTTATCCATTAGGTTTAGTTCAGATTCCCATAAGCTCCAAGCTTGCTTGCTTACATTCTCTGTGAGAGAGACGGAGAGAGAGAGTCCCTGTGTCTTTGGGCACAGTATGGCTCTCCCTGCCCTCTTACCACCTTTTGTATATGTTTGTCATTTGGCTTGTATTTAAGACAGTATAATTATAATATAAGTGAAAATTCCCCGTTGGGTTTATTTTCCTATGTGCTTCTGGTTGAATGTGTTCTTTCTACTCTGTTCCCTTCACTTGCCACAATTTCCAGAATCCCAGCTTTAGAGTAATGGGAAATACATCTCTCTTGATGTAATGCAGAGGAGAATGGAATGATAGTTTTGAACAAAATATTATGTAACTAAGGAAGGTTCACATGGAGCTACATCTCTACTATTTTCAACCATTGTAGATCTCCAGGACTTCCTATCCACCTAATTGGTAAAAGAACCAGTTGAATAGCAACAACTCTCTTAAACATCAATAGTATTATTTGGGTGAACTTGTTCTGCTGTTATACAGTTTTCTTGAACTTGTTATGCTGCTAGTTTCCTCAAAACTGGGGAAATCACTTTTTGTTTATGAAATTCAAGGTTGGGGGGAGTGTGGTGTATGTATGTGGCTTTGCAAAGAAGATAACTGGACCTCATAGAAAATTCTCTCAAAGTATGTATTCTTCATGCTCCATGTTTAGTGTGGTGAAACAATTTATTTAGCAACTGCATTGCCGAAATAGGATGATGTTTGGAGTTACAAAAATAGCTGAGGAGGAGAGTGAATGCAACCCACAGCCCATGTGATATTTACCCTCATATGTTGCATACTTGCAATGTGATCCTGATATACAGTAGTTAGAATGGCACATAGAAGAGGAGAGGTATCAGCATAATGAAGATTTTATACATCCAATGGGCATAGAACCCTCATGGAAACCTGGATGTATCAGGAGATTGAATAGAGTTTCCTGGAAGACAGCATGGAGCCAGCTAACCAGCCATGAATGGGAACAGTACACACTACAGGACTCCATTGTAGGTCCTAGTTGTTGTTATTCTTGAGCATTAAAAGTCACCTCTGAATGTTTTTCTGAATGACTAATGTGTGTGACTTCAGAACAGTGTATGCTACCATAACAGACTAGAAGTATTGTTAACATCACAAGGGTTTTTTTTACACACACACACAATAGTCTGCATTAACTAATGAGTTGGATCATAGTTTTGTGGGTTCTTTGTTTCCATTTCTAAATAAAAACTGTTCTTGATTTAAAAAAAAAATTACAAGTTTAATTTATGTGCTCAATTTTTGCTAGATTTTAACTCTCTGTCAAAGAAGACATAGTGATATATCCCATAGTAATACATAGCAATGTATCTGCTAAGGTGGAAAATACAAGCCCTCTTCAGGCATTCAAACTCATAGTATAAATACCCTATAAACAACTAGGGAGAAGAATACTCTAGCATCCCTGCAGTCCCTATTTCATTGACTTCTGTTGACCTTTGGAAAAGGAGAGATTACTTTCTGGATGGTTTCAAACCTGTTGAGCCTCCATGGATGGATGAGGGCTCCTGTTCAGCAAGTAGGGCTTCCTGAAAGTGTGTTTCTACCATCTTTCCAGCCCTTATTTGATTTAGAACACCTGGGTAGGACTACAGTAACCTTGTTTTCTAAATCAGATTCTGAGTGGTTTCCTCTTAAAACACAAAGAGGAAACCACTTGTAATCAGATTTAGAAAACATGTAAGTGTGTGATATGAAAGTATGCACTCTGTTTCAACTTTTCCACAAATCATTATGATGAGTTTGTAAAGCTAAGATTGTATATGGAGTTCTCTGTACTATACTTATCAAACCTCCAACTATATTTTCAGTATAATATTCATTACCAGTTTCTAAGCACATACTTTAGCTTAAACGAGAAATAATGTGTTACTTTAAAAGAGTTTCTTTGTCAGCTATTTTCCCCCAATCTAGAACAGAGTTACTTCTTTGCTTGTAATGACCAGGGCCCTAATTTAGTATCATATTATAGTGGTGTTGGAGGAAAGTGCTGAGAGTGCCTTCGACAGCGAGAAGATCCAACCAGTCCATACTTCAAGAAATAAAGCCTGACTGCTCATTGGAGGGAAGAATAGTAGAGGCCAAGATAAAGTACCTTGGCCACATAATGAGAAGAAAGGAAAGCTTAGAGGAGACAATTATGCTGGGGAAAATGGAAGGTAAAAGGAAGAGGGGCCGACCAAGGGCAAGATGGATGGATGGTATCCTTGAAGTGACTGGATTGACCTTGAAGGAGCTGGGGGTGGTGACGACCGACAGAGAGCTGTGGCGTGGGCTGGTCCATGAAGTCACAAAGAGTCAGAAATGACTGAACGAATGAACAATAACAAATTATAGTGGTTCTGTCTGTTAATTACCACTTACGTGTTCTGACTTAGGCTGCTTCCAGACAGCACTTAAATGTGCACCAAAGAGGGTCTAAGACACTGGCTTAAGCGCACATTTAAGTCCCCACACCTCCCCCCAAAACCCGCGCTTTCCTGGAGGGATGTCAAGATACCCTCCCGGTACCTTCCAGGAGGACACTGAGATAACCTCATCCCAAAAAGGCTTTAAAATAGAAAATAACTTACCCGATTGCCATTAAGGTCATGTCRGTATCCTCCTGGCATGTATAAATCATGTGCCAGGAGGAGGGTGAGGAGTGATTTTCCTCCTGCCCCCCCCCCTCCTGGCKCATGAGTTCTATGCCCCAGGAGGACTCCAGCAGAACCTTAAAGGAGGCCAAGTAAGTTATTTTCTATTTTCAGGACTTGGGGGGGGGGGTTGGGGGCGTTGGTGCACTCTGAGTTTTCCGGGCTCATAGAGCCTGAACAACCTGAGAGGGCTGTGTGGATTGAGCCCAGGGATCGTTTGACAAGGTTCCTGGCTCCAGTCCACAATGGGCCCATACCTGGAAAGACCCGGATCTTATCAAAGATCCATATCTTATAAGATATCAAATTAATTCAGGACAAAGCAGGGGTTTCCTGCTTTGTCTCAAATTAATTTCATTTTACCAGAGGAGTCATTTGGATGCCCCAGTAAAAGCATGCAAGCTCACATGTTTGGGGCCCTGTCTGGATGGGCCCTTAGTTTTATCAATGAGAGAGAGGATGAAGGATCAAATAAGACATTTTGGTGAGTTGCTGTGCAGCTTAGAGGGAGCCTGCAACAAGTAGGAAAGGAAATGGAGAGAGGAGAAGACATTGAAGAGGAGTTGCACTGAGGATGGCAGTTAGATTTTGGGGAGGGAATTTAAAAGTTAATCTATCTTCTCTGCCTTCCTCCATTCTGCTGAAGAGGAAAGAATCTGCTGCTGCTACCCGAGAGACAGAGAGTCAGTCATTTTCCTGAAATTTTTAGTGGCATAATAATAATAATAATAATAATAATAATAATAATAATAATAATAATATGTTAGTAATCCAGTGAGTAGCTCCTAGACTGAAGTAAGAGTATCAAGATATGCATTTGGTGCAATTAATAATACAAAGAATGATTTCTAAAAGGAATATTCCAAACTCTGGATTAAGTTGGAATTGGACACATCTCCTTTACTGGGTGCAATATTGTATGTTTCTTTAGGAATGTATTCTCTGAAAGCTTTGGGGTATGAGGAAAGTGGTATGGTGGCTTTGCACCTGTGAAACCAGTGTGCAGTGTGTAATCTCATTGAGGTTCCCTATATATAGTGACAGTTTAACAAGATTCATGTTAAGTAACAAGATTCTACTGTCTTCAATTTTGTCATCTGTGCTAGGTTACCAGACCTTGTAGCTATAACAAGAAATCCCATTTTGAAATTGAAGATGCTGATGAAGTTGACAAGATGGAAATCAGGTAAATCTGTTTGTTCACAGACACTATTCATCCCTATAGTTACAATGTGCTATTTGTGAGAAAAGGTTAGGCATAATACTTATACAGCCATTTACATGGTTTGTGACCTTGAAAAGCGATGCTTCTCTGTTCCTCTTTAATATCTGTCAAGGAAATAAAGCATGTATCCTGAGAGAAAGAGGTGAAAGGAGAATACATTTACTTTTGTCTTCTGCTCACTAATTTGTCACTGAATCATCTTCAGCTAGAAAGAGCTTCTGCATACATTTGAAATGTATCAGAAGCCTGGAGAATGGGTTTAAGTTTTGCAAATACCAAAGCCCAGAGGATATATCAAAATCAGTGCCGGCACATCTGTAAAGGAGTGAATATTTCTGAGGCCCAGTGTTAAGGAGAAAGCTCTAGGCAAAGTGGATGCAGCAGTTGACCAAAAACTGATTTGTAACCCTTTTGGTACTAATGTTGGGGAGTGGTCCCAGGTCAAAGTGGTCCCTAGTCAATTGGTCCATGGTCAAAGTGGTCCATGGTCAAGTGGTCCGTGGTCAGAGTGATCCCCAGTCAAGTGGTCCCTGATAAAAAAAAAGGTTGGAAACCACTGCCTTAAGAAAACTTTGGTATGAAGGTTTCCAGTGCCATGTTCATCTTGCGGGCTGTTGGAGCTGCAACACTTTCAGTAGGCAAAAGAAACCATACAGTACTTTACACCCATGCAAAATCCAGTGGACAACACTCCTGCATTGCTCATCAGCAGCTGGGTTGGAATGTATTGCACACTGAATGGCAGGTGTAACATCAGATGTCTGGATCTATTGTTATGGTCTTGTTTGCTTAGCCATAAATGCATCAATTTTCCTGTCCCCCTACATCTATGCCTACCACTTGTTGCTAGGGTTGCAAATAATTAACCTCTCTGAGATTTAAAATGGTAGTGGCAGAGGTGGCTGAGGTAGTTCGTATGTACTTTTACAGTCCTTTGGTGGTGTATTTGTTCTTCCCATCCTGCTCTGAAAGGTCAGTAAACTAGTACAAGAAATGTACTATATATTGTATACACAGCTCCCAGCCCTGTCTATGTTATGTTGGCAGTGCCCAGTAAGTGCCCATGATTTCTCTCCCTTCCTCAACCTTTGTCTCTCTCACACGAACAATCACACAGTTTCTCACACATATTTACTCATTTTCTCACTTCATTGTGTTGCAGGGTTGATCTTTGGAATGCAAGCAACTTGAAGTTTGGAGATGAATTTCTAGGAGAACTAAGGCTACCTCTGAAATGTCTCCGGCAATCCAGCTCTTATGAAGCATGGTACTCATTTATTTTAAAGAAAGATTACTCTTTAATTTAACATCATTTTTATTATTTCTGTAATTGTTTTACCTTCTTTAATTTTAGGAACCTGTCACCAGCTATCTAATTTCAGCATAATTTACCCACACATGTTTTTCTTCATTTGTCAGGTATTTCCTGCAGCCCAGAGACAATGGAAACAAGTCACTGAAACCTGATGACCTGGGTTCCTTGAGGTTAAATGTGGTTTATACTGAAGACCATGTTTTTCCTTCAGACTACTACAGCCCACTTAGAGACCTCTTATTAAAATCTGCAGATGTTGAGGTAACTTGCTTGCTATGGACTCTTCCTTGCCCCGAATGTTTTGTAAATATTACATAACATAGTGGTGGACCATTCACAGTCTAGATCCGCAGTGTACAAATGCAGCCAACCCAGTGGTCCTCCATCATCCCGCAGGAGAGGGTGCTGGTCTGTGGAATTCTGGACCTGGGATCATTTCCCCTCTACATGCCACAGTGTCATCCTTTCTTCAACCAGAAGTGATACAAAATCATTTCCCACTCTGTGAAAAGCTGGGAAAAGGCTGTTTTTATTCATTTGTGCAGGAAAAGCAGTGGAGCCTTGGGGGGGGGGAGGGGTGGAAGAACAGCAGCACTCAAGCTGCGATGTTTATAGAATCATTTTGGTGTTGGGTGGCATATGCAGGTTTAAAACACAGCTATTTTTTAAAATGAGGACTTGGGAGAATTTCACTGTCCTTAAACACTCGGAAGTCCAGCCTTCTTGACATTCTTGTCAGCTATCCCCATTTTCCTTCTAAGAACCAGAACTGTGAAGTCCCCTCCTTTTTCCTTTCTTTTTTGCTCTCACTAAGACAGTGTGTTTCCCATTTACCAGTCGCTTCATCAATATTCACAACTTCTCCAGCTTTCTTGCCTCTGCGTCCCAGAGTCTACATACTTTCCAAGGATCTCTGCATGGTCTTCAAAGTTTTCCTTTCTTGAGGTTTTACTTGCAACCTCAGTAGCCTCCTGAAAGCACATAATTCAGTTCTATGAGGGAGGGGGGTGATATCCCACACCATCACACTGGTGAAGTTCATCCATACCATAACTTCTTCATATTATAAATTTTAAAATATTATCTTAATGTTGTTCATATCGTCCATCAAATTGACTTTGATTTATGTGGGCCCAATAAATGAGATGTCTGCTACAGGCCCTGTCATTATCAGACTTAGTCAGGTCTTGCACTCAAGCCCATAACTTCCTTGATTGAGTCAATCCACCCATGTTGTGGTGCTTCCTCTTTTTGCATTGCCTTCAGCCTAACCTATGATCATATTTTCAAATTAAATTATTCATCTGATGATGTGTCCGTAGTTTCATCATTTGGCTTCTAGGTGTAGAGTTCAGAATTGATTTGCTCTATTTATTTTTTTCTTAGTATATAAAATCCTAATAGATGAAAAAGAAATAAAATGGCTGAAATGTTTGCAAGTTCGTTTTTGTCCAAAAACTGCATTTTAAACAAAGTAATATAATGAGTTTCTTGATGAAAAATAACAGCAAAAGCAGACATACTATGATTTCATTTTAATATCTTCCTGTGATTAAATACACAAAACCAGTTCTCATTGGTGCCCATTTTAGTCAGTATTTAGCACATACTAGGAATCTGAATTAATGTAAAAAGTGTTAATTCCATACAAATGAACTCTGGCCTTTGCACACATACCATTTTACTAAAAACATGGGGTTTATATTGGGCTAGGCAACTAGGAGAATAGAGAGCAACATTGGACCCTCAGAGACCTTGAAGAACAGCATCCCCATGATTCACATACTCTTTGGAAAAGACATATTTGCTCCCATGTGATCCCCAATTCCACCTAGAGTGCACAAGTGTGTTTTCGCTATGTCTTGGGACTTTTCTCTTTTGTAGCCACTTTAGATGCAGGCGAAATCATTTTTAAGAACAGGAAGTGAAACAATCACTTCCTGCTCACTTCCTCTTCCTGGTGGAAATGCTCTCCACACCCCTAATGGCTATTTTGATTAAACCTTTTTTGGAATAAATTTGTACTTTTTTCATCCCGGTAGAGCTAGAGAGTCTCCAAACTTTGTAGAAATGCCCTCATTACCCCCTAGTGGAGAATATGGGGCAGAAAATATGACCACTGCAGAGCTCTGAGGATCTCAAAAACGTCTGGGGTGTGTGTGGTGGTGGTGGTGGTGATTTGTTTGGGGGAGGGGGGGCTCATGAGGCCTACAGGCTACACTTTGATCACCCATGGTTTACACCATCTATGCTACTGAGATTGTAATGCAAAGTTTCACACTTCAGTTTCTTCCCCATACTTATATCATTTGCATGATATTTTTGATAGTAATTTTTGATAGTCATTATGTAGCTGCTCCAAACATTTTCCTGGCCCTCACCTTATCTGGTATTTTTTCCAGAAGGCTATCTTCACTTTTGTCTATTGAATGCTTGTTGATACTATCCCACTTCTGTTCTGTCCCTAAAACCCAAATGACCATAGAGATTAAGTCACTGCAAAGCTTAAGATAGTCTGGGGAGGCCCTGCTCACAGTCCCAATTTCCTCGCAAGCGCAAATGGTGGGGACGAGAGACAGGGTCTTCTCAGTGGTGGCCCCTCAGCTATGGAACTCCCTTCCCGGTGACGTTAGATCAGCCCCCTCCTTTCTAGCCTTCAGAAGGAAAGTCAAAACCTGGCTTTGGTATCAGGCTTTCAAAGAATAGTGCAGTGCAATAACAGATTTGGAATATGTGTAATGACTATGGAACGTCTTTGGACTACGATTATGGATGGCATGATTTATATTGAATGTAATGTTTTTAAGCATTTTAAATGCTTAATATGTATTAATTTAAATTTAAATTTAATTTTAATGTTATTGGAATCGTATGTGTTTTAAGTCATTGAATAATTGCCTATATGTAAGCTGCCTTGAGTAGAAAAAGGCGGTGTATAAATAGGTAAATAAATAATAAATAACTAGTATTTAAATCTTTTTTATCTGCCTTTGTGTCTAGCCTGTTTCAGCATCTGCTGCCCACATATTGGGTGAAGTCTGCAGGGAGAAACAGGAGGCAGCCATACCTCTGGTCCGACTCTTCTTACATTATGGCAAAATTGTGCCTTTCATTAGTGCAATCGCAAATGCTGAAGTGAGAAGAACTCAGTGAGTACAGTCGTGATTTTATTTCTAGGAATGAGAGTCACTGCAACATAAAAACATGGCAATGACTTCACAACTAAATAGTTGTTTAGGATGGGGGGGGGGGGCACAATCTTACTGTCTCTTTAAGGTCCAAAGACCAAAGTCTGTAAAAGTTAAATCTATGCTGTGGGGCTCTTATGGCATTCAGCCTTAAAATATGCTTATTTGAATGCAATTTACTAGAAAATCAATAGGACTTATTTCCAACTGAAAGTCTTTTGCCTCAGGATGCTCCACTTCTTTAAAGAACTGCTCTTATTTTAAAGCTATGCCATCCTCCTCCATTAAATGGCTTTATAGATCTCTTTGGAGTCACATGTAGAACTTCCATAATGAGCTTTAAGGAATGCCGAGGAGCACTTTCTTTTAATCCCACCACCTTTGCAAACTTTTATTTGGTCACTTTTCAATTATTGTAAGTTTTGTTAAATCCCACCTTGGGAGAAAAGCCAGGTACAAATTCAATAATATAATAAAATATTCCACAAAAAAAATGAAAATAAACAAAGACAGCCCTGCCTTGCAGACTGTGGTCTCTTGGTCCCATTGGTGTTTGCTGAGGTTTGTGGTTGCCATTTATTTGTGCTTGTAACATCTCTCTTAAACATGTTTTGGATAAAATATTTTGATAACACCCTTTAACAGATACATCTTTGGGCCTTGGTTCATTTTATCATGTTTGGTTAGCTTAATGGGTTGGGATTTCTTGTACATGAAGGTCATATGATATTAAATTATCTGTTTTTAGAGATCCAAACACCATTTTCAGAGGAAACTCATTAACCTCCAAGTGCATTGATGAAACAATGAAACTGGCAGGAATGCATTATCTTCAAGTTACACTAAAGCCAATAATTGATGAGGTAAGGCCACCTTCAAAACATTTATAAAATAAACGGGCAAATATTTTAAGAGCCCATCTCCACTTCCTTGTAATTCTAAGCAAGTTAATCATGCCTAATGGGAAAAGTTGTGGAGTTGTGAAACCTATATAGTTTTTGCTTATCCGGGGAAGCTACAGTGTCACCTGTTGCCTTATGCTGCTATGAAATTACATGCTGTGGAGTGGCCACAGAGGGAAGGGCTGTCTTACAAAAGCAAGTGTTTTGATCCAGAGAAAGTATTCAGTGCATATACAAAGGAAACCACTTTGTAAAATGTGTAATTATTTTTAGATGGGTGCCCATCTTCTAGCTTGACAGTATGGCATTATTTTATTATCTCTGCAGTGCAGTTAGCCTATCCTCCTTCCCAGCGTCACAAACAGAGAAGCCGCAAATTTCCTCTAATTAATTCAGCATTTTCCTAACTGATCTGGTAATGTCAAGTTAGGTCACATTAAAGATTTTTACAGTTTCTTTAAACCAGTTTTGCAATAGTGTTATTTTGTTTTTATTTTTGAAAAAGGAATATAAAAAAATGTTGCCTTATGTGTCCAAGTGGTGAAGCAGAGGTTTGTGTTAAGGTCAGTTCCATGCAATCATTATTAGTTGTATTACTAAGCCACAGTTAGAAGTAATAATAATAAATAATAATAAATCTTTACTTATATCCTCCTTTTCTTCCTAACAGGACCCAAAGCAATACAAATCAAAACACATTTAACATAAAATACAAGACAAAAATCACACAAAGCATAATAACATAATAAGGTGCTGTAATGGGGGTGGGTTCAATAACCTGTCAATAACCTGGCTGCATATTTGTAATCTCTGAATTAGTTGGAGTTTCTGGGGACTTTTCAAGGGCAGTCCCACGTGGCGCCATTACAGTCATCTAAATGGGATAGTAGCATAGCATTTCAGTGGAGTAAAGAGAAATTCAGCTCCCAAGAAAACTAGACTACTTAAAGTATAATCAGTTATTTATGTAAGGGACTGCAACAATCCCACAGGGCAATAATCCAGTGCACTGATTGCAATTCTTCCTTCCTTTTTTCTTTCAGATTTGCCAATTCCATAAGCCTTGTGAAATTGATCCAGTTAAGTTGAAAGATGCTGAAAATTTGGAAAATAACAGGGTAAAGCAGTTTATTTTGTAAATGATTTTAAGTTAATGTAATTATTACTATACTGACATGATTTTTGTATTAAATTTGGTGCTCTTTGCAGCTGGAGTGAGTGGAGGTGAATACATTTGCTTATACACTACTGCATTTTAAAATACCTGTGGGTAACATGTATTTCCAGTTTTTTTATGCAGATGTTGCAAATCAGTGTAGCAACTATGAAGGCTTTTCAATGTATCATATATTGAAAGAAATAACATATAGGTTACATGTCATATGTGTTTTGCTTGAAAATACATAGTGGAAAGCATTAGCTTTGCTGTGACTCGCCAGAATCTAAAGAGCAAGTTTGTGTAGAGTAAACTAAAAATAAAACAAAATAAAATGTCCATGCATTGTGTGTTACACATTGCATTCTGTATTTGAGTTTCATGTAAATCTCCAGGGCTGAGAAAGGCAGGATAGATAGACGGTAAATAAATAATAAATAAATACATAAATTTTCCTCTTTACAGGAATTTCATCAACCACCCCCAAATTAGGGAATAGTTCAAGACCTTGGGAGCTGTAGTTCAAAACATCTGAAAAGCTGAACGTTCCCACCCATCTTCTAGAGCAGTGGTTCTCAAACCTGTGGGTCCCCAGATGTTTTGGCCTTTAACTCCCAGAAATCCTAACAGCTGGTAACCTGGCTGGGATATCTGGGAGTTGTAGACCAAAACATCTGGGGACCCACAGGTCGAGAAACACTGATTTGGAGAGAAAAGGTTGCATTTAGGTCGCATGGAGTCAGGCAAATAGTTTCATGTAAGAATAAGTGACAACATGGTACAGGCAGCGGGGGAGGGAGTGGGGAAGCAAGGTTGTTAAAAACCATGAGTTTTTATGTGCTAGCATTAAATATACTATCCATTTAGCTTTTGAATTCAGCAGGTACAATAAATCAGGAAGAGAAATACTAAAATCTCATTAATGTTGTTTCATTGTAAAACATGACAACAATTTACTAAATTAATAATGTAAGGAAGAGAAAGGTCCTGGTCAAATGCTTTTATTAACATAAATCCATCGTAAGTTATAGAAAGTACTTCCAGAGAGTGCATAGCTAAATATAGAAGCTTAAAAGGCAATAATGTTGTGTTTTTCAAGACAACTTAATTAACCCATAGATCAAAAAACTAATTCAGGTACACTAAATAGGATTATTTATTTTAAAAAGTCTTTGTTTAAGAAACAGATTTCCCAATATATTGCAATCTAGTTTTGGATCTTCTTTTCTTGCAGATATGATTGTCTACATGGCATTGAGGCAAGGAGGGTTGAGAGGGCTATTTAGGAAAACACCATTCAAGAACTACTTTTAAGTGTCTGGAACGGAATGCATGGTTATTTGTGTGCTGACCAATACTTACTGAATACATTAACAACTGGTGACATAAAATATTCTGAAGAGAAATCAGACAGAAGCACTAAAACATAATGTAGTATCTGATCATTATGAGTTCAATTAACATCAAAATTAATTAAACGTATACATTTTTCAGTGTTGTAAAAACCTGGAATTGCCTTAACTTGCTTGTTTTACTTGGCTGTTGTTGTTTTTCTCCCAGGAAAATCTTAGGCAATATGTAGACCAGATATTCACAGTTATTACAAAATCTGGAGTCAGTTGCCCTACAGTCATGTGTGATATCTTTTTCTCATTGCGGGAGTCAGCAGCCATACGTTTCCAAGGTATGTTACAAAATCTCTAAAAACCGTTAAGCTACTTTCAAAATTATGTATCGATTCAAAGAATGAATCAAACCAACTCACTTATTGTTCCTGACTATGGGCACTTCCAGACAGGCCCCAAACCCGGTTTGGCACAGATTTGAGTACTCACACCAGCCAAAAACTCTGGGCATCCATGGGGGGTGCGCAGTGTCTTCATGCCATCGCGATTACAATCGGGATGGTATGGAGCCACCATGAAGCCTCCCTCCCCATTTCCCCATAAAGAATGTTTTGAAACTTACCTGGCCACCATAACTTTCTTCCTTGTGCCCTCCTGGTGTAAGGAAATGACGCATCAGGAGACAGGAGGGTCGAGGAGGAAAATCCCTCTCCTCTCCCACCCCCCTCCCCCCAATTTTTTCACACGTCATTTCCTCACACTCTCCTGGTGCGAGGAAGAATGTTATGGTGACCAGGTAATTTTAACTTAATTTTTTTACTAGAGTGGAGGGGTGGAGGGTAGGGAGTGGGTGCCATTCAGGGCCCCAAAAGGTTCAAGAAAGCAAATAGGGACTCACCCCCTGGTAGTTCTTGGACTCCTGGAAGTGAATCCCCACAGACTCAGTACCCTATTAGACCTGGGCCTTTCGGGAAGGCTTGGATCTAATGGCGTATTTAATTAATTTGAAATAACCGTGGTTATTCAGAATTAATTCATTTTTAATGGAGGCGTCATTTGAATGCCCCCAGCAAAAACCCAGACAGATCCTGCATTTTGGACCTGTCTGGATGGGCCCTAGATTTCACTATATAGTCCTTCTTTAATATAGATGGAAAGTTTAATTGAAAAAGCTCCTATATAAATTACGTCAGTTTCCAGTTTCAGCCAAAAATCTCAGTACCATTCTGTTCATCATAGAGTTGGAAGAGAGCACATGGGCCATCCAGCCTAACCCTTGCCATGCAGGAAAAGCACAATCAAAGCACCCCCAACAGATGCCCATCTAGCCTCTGTTTAAAAGCCTCTGGAGAAAGAGCCTACGCTACACACTCATTTTTTTAAAAAAAAAAAGACCTCTGGAATGAATCTCTTTTCCACTTGTGCCAGATTGACTGGATACAGTTATTCTACTGTGAAGTCACCTATATTTCATGTGGACTCCCCACAGCAGTCTTTTTTATTTGGCCCATGTAAATGTGGCCTTAGGGACGGAATAGAAGTGTTTTTGCCTATTCCTTTCCCTGAAATATAGCTTATAGTGCTTGCTATTCATTGGCAGTCTCCTGCTCAAGTACTAACCAGGGCTGACCTTACTTAATTTTCAAGATCAGATGGGATTGAGTGCCTTTAGAACATTTAGTCTCTTTCCATGGTTTCACTCCCTCTTTTTTATTATAGTCGTAACTTTTTGATAAGATTGGAATTACAATTAACAATTTGTGTTCTGTTTCTAACTTACAGATGACCCTGATGTTAGGTACACAGCAGTAAGCAGCTTCATTTTTTTGAGATTCTTCGCCCCTGCAATTCTTTCTCCAAATCTCTTCCATCTTACACCTCATCACCCAGTAAGTGTTTCATCTATCTCATGCCAAATTATTCAGGAAGCTCTTGCTTGGACCACAGTATCTTCTGTTTGAGGCATTCTAGCACTCCTCATTTATACCCCTAGCCCTTATCTGGCAATTGAGTCACAGTTTACATCAATTTTAACAGAGCTGAAAGGTCCTTCACAGATGGAAAACTACTTGGCTAGATAGTAGTTGATCAGGGAAAGGAAAACGTTGTTGGTGGGCTGCATAAGCCCCTCAGCCACCTTTTTGCAGCCTACCAAGACCCTCTGTTTTAAATCGTTTTGAAAGAATTCTCTCCACTCCTATCACATTCAAATTTTCTATGTCTCATGTTTGCTTGTTAAACCATGTATCCACTCAGAGAAACAGCCAAAGACTTGCTGGAAATAGGATGTGATGCCACTACCATTTGCCAGCAATATGACAGTGCATCCCATCAACCTGTGTGTTTTAGCTTACAACTCCTAGAAATCCCAGCCAGTTTACCAGCTGTTGGGATTTCTGGAAGTTGAAGGCAAAACATCTCAGAGCCCACAAGTTGAGAACCACTGCACTAGGCATACAAAGATGAAAAGTGGCTTCTTTCCCTTTGCACACATTATTTTTTTACCGTAGTCTTAGACATGTCTGTGAAATTCCCATGCTACCTACCATAGCAGTGAATGTAGAAGATTCAAAAGCTCGTTGTCATAAGCCTAAGTGTTGCATTTGCACTACAAGCAGTTGCGTGCTTGTTTGGCATTTAGTGCATTGGTCGTGGGACTCAGTGGGATTAAACTCTAAATAGATTTGCCTAGGTTTGCATTATCCTATATATATGCAGCTGCTTCCTCAGAAGTGTAGATAAAGAAAAGACTGCTTGATGACACTGAAAATCAGGGTCTTCAGTAATAGATGAAAAGGCAGGTGGACTTACTGACCCATGGAAACACTGTGAATTTTCAGGCATGTCTTTAAAGAAAAGTGAATCTGTTTTGTTTTATTACATTTGAAAAATGAAATGGCTGGCAATAGGCCTTTGGATGCCCTCAACAGATGCGTGCCCATTTTCATCCTATGACTCATGGCAAACAGGTTTTCAAGTTCCCATAAGATGCAAAAGCAACTTGTCATGTAGGCAGATCCTTCTTGCAAAGAAAGAGAAAAACTCTACTCTGCTAGTTGTGCAAAATGTACTCTTTATATACTTATGACCCATGTAACCTTATCTTACTTCCAAATTAGTTGTTGGCAATATGATAAAATATGAACTCTTTATGAAGATATGTAGCATAGACCTATGTTGTATATAGAATTTTAAACAGACACGCTTTATTTTTAATCTGCCCCTGCCAGGGTTCACAGAAAAAAACAATTCAGTTTTTAATGTGTTACTATTCAGTTATTAATGTGTTTGGTCCACTGCAAGAACAATCCTGTCCTCCTCTTGCCACCCCATCATGGGCTCAAGAGCTTTTTTTTTTTTTTTGTCATGTTCATTGTCTTCAGGGCTCTGAACTATGGACCCCTACAGCCATATAACTCAAAATATAAATGCAGGAAAACCCACAATATCTGCTTTGAACTAGAATATATGGCTGTGTGGACTCAGATAACCCAGTTCAAAGCAGATATTGTGCGATTTTTGACTTGATATTCTGGGTTATATGACTTTATGGAAGGGCCCTATATCACAAATTACATTAGTTGCAGGCACAAGCTATTATACTTTCAAGATAGTATTGAATGTTGTCCTTCATAAGAAAATGCCTACTTTTCTTCTTCCTCTTTTTTCTCTCTTTCACAATTAAAGCACATTTACAAATAAAGTATTGCATGCTGCTATGCCAGCTTTTGCTCTTACAAGAAATTAATGTAATCTTAATAAATTGGAACTAACTGTGCAAAGGAGTGTGTGTTACATACAGTATATCAATGTGAAACCTGCTGTACTGTGGTCATAGATGAATCTTAGCTGTGTGTGTATCCCAAACAATCTTTAAAACCAATATGTGTAAGAGTTTGAAGAATAATGAGGGAACCGCCCTTGAAGGAAAGAAAATGCACTCCGAGGCTTGAGACGTGTCGGTGACAATCAGCTGAGTGATTGTGAGGGGTGTGTGTGTAAAGGGTGGAGCTGGGAGAAGACTGAAAAAGGAGACACAAGAAGAAAAAGGGAGAGGAGGGCAAGAAATAATGGAAAGAGGTGCCTTTAAATCTTGCTATGAGGAAACTGGCATAAATGAATTTTTGCAAGTACATTTACCAGCCTGCCTGCTTTGTTTGTGGACAATTTAACAGAGTTTTATTGCCCCACATGACAAGAGGGCTGCTGTCATCATGTAAGCCAAAACATTTGCTGCTCTTTCAGGGGAAGAGGAGCCACCTATACAGTTCAGCTATAGTATATTTTATTGTACCATTTGGAGCCTTACAACTGCAATGCCATGTTTCCTGAGAAAGGCCATTTGAAACAGAAGGTTCATCTATATTGATTATGTGCTGCAGTTTGAAGCTAACATCAAACTGCAGCAGTTACAAAACACACACTGCTAAACTGCATGGGTTAAGGGGGATAAAGTTTATCAAGCAAAATCAGAGGAGAGTCCAAGATTACGCTAAATATAAATCACACTGAATAATGAATTCAGCTCTGTAGACTGAGAAGGGCATTGTAGACATGCACCTGTGCTGAAGTGCTTTGTAAAATTCAGAATGTGGGTAGGAAGGGCTGCAAAAAACCCTGCTGAAATGCCTATCTGGGCAGCAGGGGGAAATAATTGTTACGCCCACTGCTACATTTTCCCTTCTTGTTTCTTTCTTCTATGCCTCCTGAGTTCTAGTGTGCATCTCACCCAGAAATAGGGGGAGGGGTGGCGCCAGGGGGTTACTCATTCTACAGCAGCTATCATATCAAGCTGTGGCTTCTGTGGATTCTGGAATCAGTTCATGGCCACTTCTATGGTTAATGAATCACTTTCCTGGCCTCAAACCCGTTCCAAGAATGTCAATCTAATCATCTGCACAGCACAACCTGGTTTCTGCCTAACTGGTTCCGAGCAGACCTAAGTGGTCGATGTAGAGCCTTGAGATTCCAGTGGAATGTAATTGTCCCTAGAATTCATTTACAGAAAGTAGTTGATGGTCACAATCCTTTGTGGTTTACCATAGCATAGTAACTTTGCATATAACTTACACTACGAATGCCTATTCAACAATCCCCTGAAATCTCCTTTACATTTGCTCCAACCCCTCATCTTGCCCTGCAACCATATGAAGTCTGGTGGACAACAAGGGGTGGGATCAGGTGGGATCTGGCTGGATCCCTGATTGCACAGCAGAGGCTATCATCATTTCACATCTGGCAATGGAGACATAGCCAGATGCTTCTCTGATCCTACTCTTGGGTCTCCACCAGTTGTGCAGTGACTGTAAGGGACAGCTATAGTGACTGTGCAGTTTGAAGGGGCTTTGCTCAGTGAGGAGAGAAGAAGGAAATACTAAGTTCTGCATCAACCAAAAGGGACCTAACAGGTCAAGACTGACTTATGCCTGCATATCCCTTCTGGTCTTAAAAAAAAACTAAAGACCTTGGTCTGTACACAGGCATTTGGAGAATAAGGCATTATGGATTTCGACACAGTTTGAATAAGAACTATGGATTAAGCAATAAGTATAGAATCAAGACTCAGAACTTTATATGTTTTTAATTTGTTTAATTGTTCCATGTGTTTTATTTACATATGTTTTTAAATTGTTTTGATGGTGTCGTGTTTATACGTGGCATTGAATTTTTGACAGAATATTGTAAGCCTCCTTGAGTTCCCTGCAGGGTGTGAAAGTCAGAGTATAAATGAAGTAAATAGATAAATAAATATGCCACTAACAGGATGCCATCCATTAAATAAAGGAAGGCAGCTAGGGAGTCCTTCCACTATATGAGAAGTTACTTTGCAGCCCTTAATGTCAATTCCAACTCTTAATTCACTTGTGTTCTAGGAACAGGGCAGCAGAATGTTTTATGTGTAAAACCGAAACTAACATGGAAGTATTTACAACTTTTGTGGTTTCCTGCATACTAATCATGATACTATGTTTTTTCCCCCTTTTTAGGATCCACAAACCTCGAGAACGTTAACATTGATTTCCAAGACTATACAAACATTGGGCAGTTTATCGAAGTCTAAGTCTGTAAGGATTTTACTTTATTTCCCCCTCATTTCGAGATCATTTTGTCTTTTCACTCCCCTTTCCCCAGAAATTAAATACTCGGGGGCACAATATATTTCCTGTGTAGACACGGCATTGACATCAAAAAGATTCTGTAAGGCTAGCATGTATGTATGACCAACTAGATTTTAGAGAAGCCTTGCTAGTTCCATCCGCTCTACCCAACATAGCCAATGGTGAGGATAATGGAAGACACAGTGCAATAACATCTGTAAAGCTATAACAAAGCTTTTCAATCCCTAATGCAGGGGTTAGTTCATGATCCCTCAGACTGTTGGGGGGGGGGGGCAGACTATAGTTTGAAAAAACATGAACAAATTCCTATGCACACTGCACATATCTTATTTGTTGTGCAAAAAAAAGGAAAGAACAATACAGTGCTTAAAACAAAGAACATAAGCTTACCAGTATTTCAATAGGAAGTTTGGATCTGCTTTTGACTAATGAGATAGTCAAGTTAATCATAGAATCATAGAACCATAGAGTTGGAAGAGACCTTGTGGGCCATCCAGTCCAACCCTCTGCCAAGAAGCAGGAATATTGCATTCAAAGCACCCCTGACAGATGGCCATCCAGCCTCTGTTTAAAGGCTTCCAAAGAAGGAGCCTCCACCACACTCCATGGCAGAGAGTTCCACTGCTGAATGGCTCTCACAGTCAGGAAGTTCTTCCTCATGTTCAGATGGAATCTCCTTTCTTGTAGTTTGAAGCTATTGTTCAGGATTGTTCTTGTTGTGTGACTTGAAGTCATTTCAGACTTAGGGCGACACTATGTCTAAAGTTTAGGGTGGAAGCCAGGTAAATGAGCTTGAAGGGCTGCATCTGGCTTGCAATGTCTTATTTGTACTAGATAATTACCATACTGTTACAAGAAATGCCAAAACATGTGTATGTCCTGTATGACCATTCAGGTCTCATTCAGTATCTGGTCAAGACATGAGCTTCAGAGCTTACTAAGAAGAGAATGTGGAAAACAAGGACATGAGATCTATGACCTGTGAGTTAGTGATTCCCTGGATTGTCTTACCTTTAAAAAAATCTCAGGGGTAATTATAATTAATTACTCAGCATGGTCACCCTTTTCCCCATAGTTCAGCCGTTTCCAATGGCTGTCACAGCTTGGAAAAGTTAATTCCTTGGACTTGAAGTCTGCAGCTCACCAGACTCACCATGCTGCTGGAGGAGTTCTGAAAGTGACAGTAAAAAAAAAAATCAACTTTCCCATGCTTTGGGGACTAGCCTTTCCTAACTGGAAAACCCTTGAATGAGAATATTTGGAAAGAGGAAACAATTTGGGCCAAAAAGAAAAGGTCATTTGTGCTCCCACACACATTGTTCTTTTGAATTAGTCTAGAATTTAGCTCTAAAGTCTAGTGTCTGTCTCATGTTTTAAGCTCAGTGTCACTTTTAAAATTAATGACTAATTTGAGAAAATAGAGTTTGAACAGCATCCAGGATTTTGAAAGGAAATAGCTTAATCTGTGGGCATGGGAGGTTGAACAATACCTCTGCGATGTTTGCAGCCAGCCTTGAACAATCTAGTTTTCAGGGCCTTTTCATCATTGTAAAATAGATGCCCATGAATGAATGAGTGTACATTCTTTTGCTGACTTTGGTGTTTTAATTTTACGTACATCTTTCAAGATAAATAGCTAGTGGTGCTTTTATTTCAGGCCAGCTTCAAAGAATCCTATATGGCTATATTTTATGACTACTTTAATGAACAAAAATATGCTGATGCAGTAAAAAATGTAAGTATTAACAACAGTAGTTTGCATTATGTCTTGTATTTTATTATTTGTACAGCATAATGTTAACTGATTCAATAAAGAATTATTTATGTAATTTAATTTATATTGTTATTTTGAAGGGCATGTAAAGAGGAGTGAATAGTAAATCAGAACAGTAATGAGAACCACTGTATGTTTCCTCACTACTGATAGGAGTGAAGGAAAAGTGGATGCATTAACTCTTTGATACAGGCACCTACAGCAGTGAACATCCATAACTTGGCCTATTGTCACGTTGCCAGGGCTCTGCCTTATTTAGGTAGAGATGAATCAAATTCCCAGTTTTATCGAACTGTTTAATTAAAACAGCACTTACTTGCTGGCTGTTTTAATAGACCAAAACATAAAACATAAAGATAGCAAAAACAACTCCGTAGTCAAAAAAGTCCAGTCCAGTGGTCAAATGCCGAGAGTTCAATAAACAAAGTCCAGGGATCAAGAGTCTATACCATAGGCAAAAGCCAGTCCAAAGGTTCAAGGTTCCAAGATTCCAAGATTATAGGAGACAGATCAGGATCCCGAAAAATCCAACAGACCTGGGGGGAAAACCAGCAGCATCCGCCACCAAAATACAACAAATACTTTTCTCCCAAAGATCAGTCTCAAGGATAGCTCCTTAAATCCAGTAACACCCAGCTGCAACCCATCTCCTGCACACCACCATCCCTAATTGCTTTCACCCATGAACTCCCACTTACAGATTACCAAACCCATCATCATCACCTGAAGAACATATGACACCTATAACTTCTTCAACATGGTCAATGGCAAAGAGTTGCAATCCAAGAGTATCTGGTGGGTCACAGTTGCTCAAACTTAGGGTGCATCTACACTGTAGAATTAATTCAGTTTAACACCACTTTACCTGAAATACTATGGAATCTTTAGATTTGTTGTCTGGTGAGGGGCCAGCACCCTTTGGCAGGAAAGGCTAAAGACCTTGTAAAACTACAGTTTTTATGATTCCATAGCATTGAGCAATGGCAGTTAAAATTGTGCCAAAGTGCATTAATTCTCCACTGTAGATCAGTAGTTCCCAACCTGTGGGTTCTCAGGTGTTTTGACCTACAAATCCCAGAAATCCCAGCTGTTAGGATTTCTAGAAGTTGAAGGCCAAAACATCTGGGGACCCACAGGTTGAGAACCACTGGTGCAGATGTACCCATACTTTAAAATTTGCATATCAATAAGTATAAAGAGACATCTGACCATTCAAATTACTGTGGCATTCTTGGTAAATATGCAGTAGTAGGGCTTCCCTTGCAAAGTTGATCAACAGCTCATTGAGAAGGAAGACAAGCTTTTACATCTTCACTCAACATGAAAGTCATTGGATCCATAGTAATCACAAGCTGCAAAACATCTAAAAATAGTGTTAGGAATGAGTTGGCAAGGAAGAGGATTGTGTATGCATGTGTTTCTTTGCTGTAGGGAGGAATTATGAGTAGGGCATAGGAAAGTTAGTTTTTGACCTCTTTCAGGATCCCTAGAGAGGATGAGAGAAGTTCTGATTAAGGGCCAGCGACATATATTATGCCCATATTTCATTTATTGTGAATGTGAAATGCATTTATTTACTAATAAATATTATTAAATATTCTTTTTCTCACAAAATGGCAAACAATTAGAGTTCTAAAACACTTATCATTTCCATTTGTATTTTATCAGTTCTGCCAACAGTAACAATTATATGGGATCTCTGCTAAATCTTTATTTTATGTATATTCATTGTTCTACCTCCAAAAGTTCCTAGATTTGATTTCATCCTCTGGAAGAAGAGATCACAAGATTATAGAACAGCCAATCCTACTAAAGGAAGGGTGAGTATATAATACGTTTTTTAAATGCATTAAAAAGACTCAGTAGTTCAGTAGCAGGCGGTACATACTGTATCCATGCACTATTTGGAAGAGGAAATATAAACTACCCTTCTGAAAACTGCAAAACTGTACATGAAAGTGCTGTCAGGTTGGAGAGCATTGCTTGTTCCTTCAAGAGAATGGTCATCACTGAAAATGCAAGCAAATATGTTTTCACCAAAACATTTCCTGAGTTATGAAACACCAAATATAATTGGTTTCAGGGTAAAAGCTCCCCACTTCTAGATGAAGTTTATTATTGCCTCTGCATTATTGTTTACCACTTAAAAGTGTGCTCCTTTGTACAAGTTACTTTTCCCTTTGCGTTTTGCTTTCATAAATCAATACTTATGATTTAATAACTTTTCCCTCTTATTGCTTAAATGTGACATTTCTACATCTGTCTTTCTTTTTCTTTTGCTTCTGCCTGATTTTGTTGTCTCTTCTTGCTTGGCCTCCTGTTTTAAGGACTCTTAAACTTACAGTAAAGAAAGTTGATGATAATAGTTCATGCAGGTAAGACGGTAAAGGCAGTTGGCACTTAGCCATAGCTACCTGCCAACCGTGTGCCCTCCTTTCCTATCAAGCGAGTGTGTTTGGCTGGATTTGAGGAAAGGAATTAAGCGGTGGTTAATATCCATACAATGTGGCTAAAAGACAAATGGGGACATTTCACGGTGTATTGCATCAGCAGCTACTGGAGTGTGTGTGTGTATTATTCCTAAAGGCAGGTGCCTCCTCTGAGGACATTAAATATCCTTTTTACAAGTTCTTAAACCCTCATTGAGATTTTCAGTGATATACAGAAATGTTTCAATCCAGTAATGACACAGTAAATAGTTACAAAGTTGAAGTAATGTGACTAATTAAAAAAAAGGATTGAGAAAAGTTATTACTTTTGTTACTTGTTGAGAAACTATTTCAGTAGTTGGGTTGCTGTGAGTCTTCCGGGCTGTATGGCCATGTTCCAGAAGCATTCTCTCCTGATGTTTCATCCACATCTCTGACTGGCATCCTCAGAGGTTGTGAGGTCTGTTGGAAACTATTCAAGAGATGTTTATATATCTCTGGAATGTACCTCATCACACTAGAAAATGAATCCACTTTAGTGCTGCAAATTCCTGCAAATTTAGTACTGCAAAATTCTGCCTCCTGCAGAATTCAGGGGTTTGTAGTTTAGGGAGGAATCTTTAACCGCCTCACTAAACCAGGGATCTACAAACTTTTTAAACAGAGGGCCAGGTCACCGTCCCTCAAACTGTTGGAGGGCTGGATTACAATTTGAAAAAAACATGAATGAATTCCTATGCACACTGCACATATCTTATTTGTAGTGCAAAAAACCACTTTAAACAATACAATAATTGCAATGAAGAACAATTTTAATAAATATAACCTTTTAAGTATTTCAATGGGAAGTGTGGGCCTGGTGAGATGGGATTGTTGTTGTTGTTGTGTGCTTTCAAGTCGTTTCAGACTTAGGTTGACCCTGAGTGAGGGCCTGGTAAATGACCTTGGAGGGCCGTATCCGGCCCCTGGACCTTAGTTTGAGGACTCCTGCACTGAACTATAAGCCCCAGATTTCTGCAGGAGGCAGAAACCAGATTTAAAGTGGATTCATTCTCTAAAGTGATGAAGTCACTTTAGAGTGGGAAAAAGAACTCTTGTCTGTTTGAAACAAGTGTGATTGTTGCAATTGGCCACCTTGATTAACATTGAATGGCCTTGCAACTTCGAACCTCATTTGCCTAGTTTCCAACAGACCTCATAACCTCTGATGATGCCTGCCATAGATGTGGGTGAAATGTCAGGAGAGAATGCTTCTGGAACTTGGCTATACAGCCCGGAAAACTCACAGCAATGCAATGACTCCGGCCATGAAAGCCTTCGAGAACATGTTTCAGTAGTAGTGAGGTTTTCTCTTGCCTCCCCCCCCCCCCTTGTGGATGCTTTTCCTGCCAGGCATCCCAGAAGGATATGGTATTGAAGGCCACTAAAAAGTCCAGGAGAACCAACAGGGACACACTTCCCCTGTCCAGTTCCCTAAGCAGGTCATCCACTAAGGCGACCAAGGCTGTTTCAGTTCCATGTCCTGGCCTAAAGCCAGGCTGCACCGGATCCAGATAATCAGTTTCCTCCAAGAATACCTGGAGTTGGGAGGCGATCACATGTTCCATGACTTTGCCCAAAAGGGGGAGATTGGAAACTGGCCAGAAGTTGTTCAATTGAGTGCCTTTTGTTCAACAACATTGCAGTACTGAGCACATGACAAAATTCATTTCTCTTTGAGCATCTTCTCTTATTTATTCACTTCAGCTTGAAAGGGTCTATGTGACTTTTTAACTAGATAACAACTACTCTTGCAACAACTTCAAATGTTGTGGACACAAACTATTGTCTTCTTTCCAGAACAGCTGTTAAATTCCATTCTGTGCACTCTTCACCAGCGTATGCTTCTCCTTGAAAATGAAGAAACCTGCCTACCATACAGTGTTCACTCACATAACTATTACTTGGTAGATGGGCCTCTTTCTTTATGAGGAAAAAGGCTTGTATTCCACGTTCTGTTTAAAGCTGATTTATTCTCATGTGTCATCCTGGTATGGTATAGTAGTGAACTGTGAAGTATAGACAACATCTTTCTAAAGCTGAAATAAGTCAAGACCACACTTTGTATCTATATGGTTGCCTATTTTTCACTGTTTGCGTCTCTCTACAAACACATGGCATTGTTTGCTATCAGGGAATATACTTCCGTAGTGTCACTGTGATCTCATTTGCAATAGGTTTATGATAAAGAGGGCACAAGGCAGGAAACGATTTGGTATGAAGAACTTCAAGAAGAGATGGTTTCGGCTCACTAACCATGAATTTACTTATCAGAAGAGTAAAGGTATTAACTTTGTCTACTCTTTTTGTTTTAAGAATAACTGGCTGAAATCAAAGCAGTTTCCAACACTTATGTTACTCTCTTTGAATGTTTATGGCCATTGTGAGATTGCCCTTTTCTGCCTCCCACTTCACAGAGATCCAATCCCCACATCAACAGCGACAGGGCATTTATCATACCTCAGCCTTGGAATACCGAATTACACTAGGGCATCTGAGCAGGTGGATTGTAATCGATGAAATCTTATGCTAAATAAATACATCTGAAAGGCCCCAAAGACTCTCCTCATCAGGTTACTGTGAGTTTTCCGGGCTGTATGGCCATGTTCCAGAAGCATTCTCTCCTGACATTTTGCCCACATCTATGGCAGGAATCCTCACAGGTTGTGAGGTCTTTTGGAAACTAGCCATGTAAGGTTTATATATCTGTGGAAAGTCCAGGGTGGAAGAAAGAGCTATTGTCTGCTTGAGGCAAATGTGAATATTTCAATTGGTCACCTTGATTAGCATTGAATAGCCTTGCAGTTTCAAAGCCTGGCTGATTCCTGCCTACGGGAATCCTTTGTTGGGAGGTGTTAGATGGCCCTGATTGTTTCATGTCAGGAATTCCTGGCAATAAAGAGGAACACTCAAACAACAGGGGAATTACTGACATGAAACAATATAAACCTTACTTGCCTAGTTTTCAACAGACCTCACACCTCTGAGGATGTCTGCCATAGATGCAGGCGAAACATCAGGAGAAAATGCTTCTGGAATATGGCCACACATCCTGAAAACTCACATAAATCCAGTGATTCCAGCCATGAAGGCCTTCAACAACACTCTCCCCATCCTTATCTTTTTTTTAAAATTACGGTAACACTAAAGACATTAAAAATAAAAAATCACAAGGAAATCAATTTGGTAATCAACTTTCCAAAGACATCCTAGGTACTTTAAAGTTTTAGGATAGTATAAAATGCAGGGTTGGTATCATTGTGGCAACTTCATATGAAAAAACTCATATCGGAACCTATTTTGGTGTATTGTTATGTTCTTTATATTATGCGTGTGTATGTGTGTGCTTACCATTTTAAAGGTAATTGGTCACTGCAGTACTCCTTAGTTCCTCTGACAGTTGTGGAATTAGTATTTAAGCATGACTGTGCAAGACGCTGGGCATTTTAAATGATTTTTTAAAAACAGTTTTCTTTAATTTTCCATTGCAGGTGATCATCCCTTATGCAGCATTCCAATTGAAAACATCTTGGCAGTAGAAAAATTAGAGGAGGAGTCCTTCAAAATGAAAAATGTAAGCAGATCACCCTCCCTTTTTTATTTGTACGAACTACAGTATCATCAACATCCATTTATGGTCAGTTCTGGTACAAAAGTGTTTCCTGTACACTGTCTGTTATCATGAGAATACAGCTGTAGTTCTTCTTTTAGACTTAGAAATGTAGATAATCCCAAAATGCAACATGTTTTGACAGAAGCATCTAAAAATTCAACTAACAGCGGCATACAGATGGTTCTTCTTTCCTACTGATTATTAAGTTTATGATATCTGGAATTTATTTCACTTCTTTCTTTACATTGCTTTATCTTATACAAATAGTGTCTGTTTCCCATGGGTAAAATTATGTGATTTAAGCCATGGAAGACAAACATCCCACAAATGCTGCAGATGAGCTGCAGAATATAAATCAGATTAATCTATTTGTGGTCATCTTTATAATACTTTGTATGTATGTTCACAGCTAGTACAAAACAGCATCACTTCTCTCTGCTCACAGAGTTTTATGTTTTAATGTTGGGAATTCTCTTTAGTATTTATTTATTTATTTATCTATAGTATTTATATTCTGCCCTTCTCACCTTGAAGGGGAGTCAGGGCATATCACAATGCACACATATATGACAAACATTTAATGCTGTTTTAGACAAAAAAAAAACAAAACAGATAGATAGAGGTATTTTGAGATTTCAACTTTGGCACCTGGAGGTTGTGCTCGATTCTGGCCGCGGGGGGGGGGGGGGGGGGGGTGCTATCACCCACTATGATGCCATTTTGATTATATTTCCTCCTTGCTCTTTGATCACCTGCATTTTTATCGTGTTGTAAAATGCCTCCCTGCTTTAAGCAGTCCCTAATTTCTCTACTCACAACACAGCTGTTTTAAAACTGCTTAAGTGGACAGTAAGCTAGGATTAACAGCAGTCGGGTGCTCAATCCAACTCGAGCTTCGAACTTGCCACCTTTTGGTCAACAGTGATCTATTGCTGCTGGTGATTAACCAGCTGTGCTATGTTGTTGTTGTTCATTCGTTCAGTCGTCTCCGACTCTTCGTGACTTCATGGACCAGCCCACGCCAGAGCTCCCTGTCGGCCGTCACCACCCCCAGCTCCTTCAAGGTCAGTCCAGTCACTTCAAGGATGCCATCCATCCATCTTGCCCTTGGTCGGCCCCTCTTCCTTTTGCCTTCCACTTTCCCCAGCATAATTGTCTTCTCTAGGCTTTGCTGTCTCCTCATGATGTGGCCAAAGTACTTCAACTTTGTCTCTAGTATCCTTCCCTCCAATGAGCAGCCGGGCTTTATTTATATTTATTTATTTATTTATTTATTTATTTTTATTTATTTATTTTTATTTATTTATTTATTTATTTACTTACTTACTTACTTATTTATAGCTGTGCTATAGCCCTGGGATAAGTTGGGATACGTTGGGATAAGTTCCATGAAATATGACAATAAAAAGAGGATATGTTTTAAGAGGTATATGAGCACATGTATGGCATGTATGGCAGTGCACTGCCACTGTTTGTAGAATCTATAAAAACAAGGCTCATTTTTACTTTCATTGATTTGTATAGGTTCTAAGAAATACTGTATGGATATTTTTATTATCATGAGGGAATGGTGATATTGACTTTAAAAAAAGAAATAAAAATAAAGTTAATCCCTAAACAATCTGTAATTAAATGTCAAGCCATATAGATATATTTTGCGTTAAAATCACATTTCTGAGGATAATATTGAGTTATCCCCTTTAAGTAAAGGTAAAGGTTTCCCCTGACATTAAGTGTAGTCGTGTCCGACTCTGGGGTGTGGTGCTCATCCCCATTTCTAAGCCAAAGACCCGTTGTTGTCCGTACACGGCTCCAAAGTCATGTGGCCAGGATGACTGTATGGAGTGCCATTACCTTTCCGCAGAAGCGGTACCTATTGATCTTCTCACATTTGCATGTTTCCAAACTGCTACCTTGGCAGAAGCTGTGGCTAACAGCAGGAGCTCACTCTGCTCCCTGGATTCGAATTGCTGACCTTTTGTTCAGCAGCTCAATGGTTTAACCCACTGCACCACCAGGGGGCCTGGTTATCCCCTTTAGAAGTTCTAATAAGATTATTTATTATCATTTAAAACAGTTATATTCTGCCCTTCTCACCCCAAAGGGGGCCCAAGGAGCCCCCGGTGGCACAGTGGGTTAAACCCTTGCGCTGGTAGGACTGAAGACCAACAAGTTGCAGGTTCAAATCTGGGGAGAGCGTGGATGAACTCCCTCTATTGGCTCCAGCTCCTCATGTGGGGACATGAGAGAAGCCTCCCACAAGATGGTAAAACATCAAAAACATCCTGGCATCCCCTGGGCAACGTCCTTGCAGACGGCCAATTCTCTCACATCAGAAGCAACTTGCAGTTTCTGAAGTCGCTCCTGACATGACAAAAAAACCCCAAAGGGGACTCAGGGCTGAATACAACATATAAATGGCAAATATTCAGTGCCCAGACATAAATAGCCTGTACACATACATAAACATTAAAATCAATGATTTCAACATTAACTCCACGGTTAATATATTAATGCTGCCTAAATTCCCTAAAGACACCAGATCTTGTCTGATTTTGGAAGCTAAGAAGGGTCATTCTCTGGATAGTACATGGATGGAAGGCTGCCAACAAAAACCATGTGCCACAGGATATATTTCAGAGGATGAAACCACTTCTGAGTGTTGAAATTTCATAAAAACCTTATAAAATTTATGGAGTCTCCATAGGTTAACAGGCAATGTGAAGGCACAGGTGCACACACCCATCTGCTTTCACAGAGCATTGGGCTTTTATACTATAGTTATTGTATGTGGAGCAAGAAATACAAGAAGTTTGTTCTTTTGACTTTACTCCCAATTTCTTTAAGAAGTTCAGATGTAGCCTATCTTCTTACAGAAACTCTGGGGAATAGGTTAAGCTTACTGGCCTAAAGTCATCAACTTTGTGACTTCATGGCTGACCAAGGTTTTAAACCTAGGTTCCCAGAGATTAAGTCCAGCACTCCAGCTGTATTTCATACCTCACTGGCTTTCAATTATTACTGTGAAGTATGCTCTTACTTGTTCTTGCAAAATAAAGCACCAAGGATTTAAATACGTAAACTTGACGCCCAAACCAGTGAGCAGCCCAAGGTCTAAAAGGTGCACTTCTAGCAAGATTTGCTCTGTAAATATAATTTTTATGTGGCCTTGCCTGCTAATCATGGATTTGCTTTCTCTTTTCTGTCTCTCTCTCTTTCTCTTGCTGTCTGTGCCTTTCAGATGTTTCAAGTGATTCAGCCTGAAAGAGTCCTGTACATCCAGGCAAATAACTGTGTGGAGGCCAAGGACTGGATTGATATCCTCACCAAAGTTAGCCAGTGTAATAAGAAACGTCTCACTGTCTACCACCCTTCGGCATACCTTAATGGGCATTGGCTGTGCTGTAAAGCTATAGCTGATAATACTCCTGGCTGTACTCCCTGCACTGGGTAAGGACTTTCTAGGAAGCTTCCTGTTCTAAATTTGGCCCTGAGCTTGCTGATGATGAAATGTGTTGCTGCAGTTTGATTAAAAACTGGGAACTGGTGCTAAGGGAGGAGAAGGCAGGAGTGTGTCAGGATGTAATAAAATCGCCCCTTACAATGGTCTCTACACTGTATAATTAATGCAGTTTGACACCACTTTAGCTGCCAAGGCATAGTGCTATGGGATTCCAGGATTTGTAGTCTAGTGGGCACCACCACTTTTTGGAAAAGAAGACTTAAAGACCTTGTGAAATCACAACTCCCATGATTCTATAGCATTGAGCCATGGCAACTAAAGTGATATTAAACTGCAGTAATTCTACAGTGTAGATACACCCTCAGTTTTTTTCCTTGCAATATTTGCATACCTGGTGGCATTGTAATGTAAAACAGATGTAGAAGTCTTGTTTCAATAATATTTCGGCTGCTTTGTTGATTGATTTATTAATCACATAGATTCATCTTGAAGATGGAGCCCCCGGTGGTGCAATGGGTTAAACACTTGTGCTGGCAGGACTGCTGACTGACAGGGGAGAGCAGGGGGAGAATCTGGGGAGAGCAGGCTGAGCTCCCTCTGTCAGCTCCAGCTCCCCGTACGGGGACATGAGAGAAGCTTCCCACAAGGATGGTAAAACATCAAACATCCAGGCATCCCCTGGATCTTTGCAGACATCCAATTCTCTCACACAAGAAGCGACTTGCAGTTTCTCAAGTAACTCCTGACACACACAAAAATCTTGAAGATCTTGTTACTGAGTTTAAAAAGTCTCTGCTTAATTGGGAGGGATATTTTAATTTAATTAATTATTTACAAAAATGCAGAGTCTTCAGAAGGGCATTCCTCCTTTCCTGCACAAGAAATTCCTCCTTTCCTGTTGCATTTTCAAAGTCAGTGGCGAAAATGCAGAGTGGTTTTTATAGCTTCCAAAATATTTCTGGACTATTTGTTTTTATATGCATATGTAATTGAATAATAATATCACTCAAACCGTTTTTTAGAACCAGAGCTAATGATATACAAAACCTGCTCAAAATGTTAGTTTTTGCAGTCTGATAGTAGGGAATACATTCTTTTAAACATATTGTTTATTTTTAATTCTCCATACACATACATATTGGTTCCATTTTGAAATGCCTTTTTAAATATTCCATTCCCTTAAGTCAGTTTGTTTACCAGTTTTAATGAATCTGTATTTTTAAAAAATAGTTGATTCTTCTGTAACTCATATTGTTTCATTTTGGACTCTTGTTCTGTTAATCAAAAGCTCTCTTAAACCACAACAGAAAAAGATTGCTGAGTTTCTTAATGTTATTTGAATTATTCTATAGGGGCCTACCAGCAAATATACAGTTAGACATAGATGGAGACAGAGAAACGGAACGCATCTATTCCCTATACAATTTGTATATGACTAAATTGGAGAAAATGCAAGGTGGGTATGCAAATGAATTATTCCATTGTGTGCACAAATCAGTGTAAAAGAAAACAATGTTTTCTTTTAAAAAATACCTTCCTTCGGAGTGTCCTACATGATATTTTTGAGTAAGCTTGGATATATACATGGAAATAGACATGCTTTTCAAGTTACAGACAATTGTATAGCTTTTTAAAATGCACAATTCTAACTCCTTTTTCCCCATGACATATTACTGTCGTTGTAATAAAATACAAAATCCCATATCCATTTACACATTGCTAGTAGTTTATTCAGAATCCACAAGTTGGCATCAATGCTAAATCATAGTAAACAATAAATGAAGAAGAGATTGCACTGGATTTTTGTTGGGCAGATTTCTCTGCACATTAGGATTTCTCATTAATTCATTTAGGATCTAATAGGGCCTTTCTCCAGATTTATCAATGACATTTGAGTGTTGAACACATGGGATATTCAATGAATGTAAAAGCAGAGAAGGGGCATCATATAACCACTGCGTTTCTTGGCAAGCTAGAGGACTATTTTGAACTACACTTTGCCAGATGAGTTCTGTTCTAGCACAGGGAAGGCTCAAGTTATTCTAAGATAGAATATAAATATAACTTTGTAGGATGTAAGGGTCAGATATATTTAAACTTACTCTGACCCTTGTAATTACAAACCTATGACCTCTCATTCCATTTCAGAGTTGCCCATCCCTTTGCCCTTATATCCAAATCCTTTACCACATAAGTAATCTTAGAGACAATTCTGATATAAATTGTGTAGCTGGTCATTGTCAACCCCCTTTTCCTCTTAAATAAATAGTAGCATTGCACATCATTTCATTTTTATTTGTATTTCGAATCAAATTTGTTATATTTGTACATACGAAGCGATATTAGAAACATGTCATAAAGGTGAGGGGGATTTAGAAATTGAAACACTCACCAATCATTTTCGTTGAGATTCTGTAATATTTGGATGTCTCCCAAGGTCGTTTTAATTTTCAGTATAAGCATTAAGTCAAAGAGACCATTCAAAGAGGCCTTAGCTGGCGTTTAAATTAAGACCCAGGCTGCTGGCTGGTCTTTGGCCCGATCGCCATAAGGAAGGTACTGTGAGCAGGACTACAGTTAATGGGCAGGAGAATGAGTACACAGCAAACTTAAAAATGTAGTTTGGGAAGATGAGCCCCCCAGAAGCAGAGAATGCAAAAGGCCCTGCTCTAAACTACATTTCCCAGAATGCAATGCTCACTTGCTCTGAATCTGAAGGACCTAATGAGGGCTAGCTGCAGCCACCACCATTTAGAATCAGTCTAATAATAATAAATAAAATTATTGAATCTGCAAAGAGGACTAAAGTAAGTAAGTAATAGTATAAATCTGTGATAAGTTGAAGTTCTGTGGTTGTGTGACATAAAGACATTCAAGGGGTCACTTTTTGGCGGGATAATTTTTTTGTCTGAACTTTTTTAAATCCCCAAAAATTCAGAGATGTATGAATCTTTCTGAAAGTTCTGGGGATTGATGCCCTGGTTACTTTGTGCATTGTATATAAAATTTAAGTAGATAGCTCTTGTAGTCTTTTTTAAAAAAATATTGTTTATAAAAACTTTGGAAATTCCCCAAAAAATCCATGGATAAGTGAGCAGCTCTGAAATTTGATGGGCTAACAGTGGTAAATGTGTTCTATCGTTGTAGCAAGTTTCACTCCAACAGCTTAAAAATGAGGGTGAAATGAGCTCTTGAAGTTTCTCCAATGATGGTAATTATTTAATTATGCACATGTGCAATTACTGTAATGAAATAGTAACGAAATTTCATCAGTCTCGTTATAGTAATGTATAAGTATACTTTAGTATACTCTAAGTATACTTTAGATACACTTTAGAAACAAAGTGCCAGCATCCCCAGTTTTGTAAGTACTTTTGAACCATGTTTATAATAGATCGCACATGCCTACATAGCTGCCACATTAGGGCACAAGATATTGAATGGGTGATTGGGATGAAATGGGATACTCAATTTAACTTTTTTTTATTTGTGAGATTTATTTATAGTCTTCCTTTCTACCAATTCATGGTCTGAATCCAGATTTTGTCTTCCTTGTGGTAATTGTTTTCTCTGAAAAAACGTTTCCCATTTGCACCAGTAGAAGCACCAGTGGTGTTTCAAATGTTAACCTCTTTTCTGGGTATTTTTCACTTGCTGATTCCAAAAATGGCACCAGTTTTCCCCCTTCAGCTCTAGATTTTGAGATAAGGAAGATATGCCATTTACCAGTTCCCATACTTTTGCCCATAGAAAACCAAAATAACCACATCTAAGGAACTGCTGCTGATGTGTTCTGTCCAATGCAATTTTCTGCATCAGTGCTCCAAATCACCCCAGGAATAGGCCTAAAAACTAAGACACCAAGAAAAAATTTTGTTGGGCTGTGTTATTTACAATAGCTATGTGGAACCTCTATTTTCAGAAGCAGTTTGTTCCTAAAATTTAGGTTCTGCAAACAGAGAAGACCGTGATATTCACATCCCACTTGGGTGTTTTCAGAGGCACTTGACCAGATATTGTTTTGGACTCTTTTTGTTAGTTGGAAAACACTTGTTACTTGGATGTCATTTCAGCAATGATACTTGTAAATTTACACTTGCGTCACAAGTACTAACTCATTTCCCCTCATCTTTCTTTTACAGAGGCTTGTGGAAGTAAATCTGTTTATGATGGGCCAGAGCAAGAAGAGTATTCTACTTTTGTCATTGATGACCCTCAGGCAACCTACAAGACACTAAAACAAATTGTTGCTAGTGTTAAAAACTTAGAGCAAGAACACGCCCAGTACAAGAGAGATAAATTCAAGAAGACAAAATATGGAAGCCAGTAAGTTTGAGTTGGTCCTGAGTCCTACTGAGATCGCAGTATATTTTCTCAAATAATGAATGATGTTTTCATCTTGACTTGTTGATTGGTTGATTTTATGAAATGTATTGGTTTCTTGTATAACTTGAATCAACTGGAACTCACATTGTAAGTGTTCCATTGTGCTCATGATATTGTCAAACTTCTAATGGCCAATTGTTGCTGTTTTTAAAATACAGATCCCTTTCTAAAATGTCCCACTGCTCAGTAGTATGCTGGTACATTTGGCAGCCAATTTGGCACTCCCAGGCCCGTAGCCAGGATTTTGATTTTGGGGGGGGGGGGGGGGCGGAGGTTGATTGGGGGGGGGGGGGGGGGGGCTGAGTCTGAGTGAAAGAGGGTCTACCCTAGCAAACCTTTTGTATCATTACCCAATACCCCCATGCATATGGGATATATTGAGCATGGTGATCAGATCATGATATGAATAAACATAACAGTTTAAATAATGTACCAGTAAGGCCTTTTCGCGAACCACCATGAGAATTTCGGGGGGGGGGGGTGAAGCCCCCCAACCCCCCCCCCCCTGGGCTATGGGTCTGGGCACTCCTACTCTCACTCACTACTTGGGCAGGCAGACTTGCTACTGGTGATAAGAGTGTTAATTTTGTATTTACTTTTTCTTTCATCTCAGCTTTTGGTGCCATGGAGGTCAATTTAGTTGGTGGGGTAGAACTGGCCTGTCTTCCCATCACATCCAATTTGGTAATCTCTGTTGGGCAAGTGGGCTTATTAACAAAAAACCCTCCTCATAAATGCACAGCAGAGTAACTTATTAGCATCAGCATGACCCAGCACCAGTAGCCCAAAGTGATAGAAAGAACAAAAACACAGAAACCAATGCTATCTCGTCCATAGGAGGCTTTCTTTATAGCAAAATAATATGTTTGCAAAAATAAGATTTCCATAACACAAATAAGCAAATACATAATAGCTTTACACCCAACAGCCTTCACAGGGGAGCTTTCTCACACGAGGTTTCTCTCACACAGAGATTTACCTCACACTTCTCAGAACACTCATTCTAACAGGCTTCGACCTACTCACTCTCTTTTGGACTACACTAGCTTTGGTCCATTAACTCTCACAGGCTTCGGCCTACGAACTCTCAATGCCTGTAATTAAAAGTGCCTGTAATTAAAAATAACTAGTTAATTTTTAATATTTCTGACACCTTCTATTTTCGATTGCAAAAATCCCCAGTTTAAATCATACATACATACATAAACACAATTTGCTGTTAAATTCACAGGATTTTACAATTCAATTTTTCTTTTAAATGTTACCTCTAGAACCATAAATCTTTTGTGGTACACGTTTATTAGCCCTTTCCGATCTTCTGGGGATTTCAATTATTTCCCGTACTTCCACCAACTCTTCATCTTCATTGTTTTTATTAGTTTCATTCTCTGTTTTTACACTAAGGCTACTCGTACTGTACGTGGAATTTCTAGTTTCTCTTCTTTTGCCTGTACTATTTCTGTCTTTTTATTAATATCTTCATTTCTAGATCTTTCTCTTGTGATTTCCCTTTCCTGAGACTCAATTCTTAGAAATGGTAGAAATACTATTTATAAAAATAAGGATTCCATAACACAAATAAACAAATTTAGTTGGCGGGGTAGAACTGGCCTGCCTTCCCATCATACTCAATTTGATAATCCCCTTGTGCAAGCTTGGAGTGAGTTCTTTGGGGAGATGTTCAACGTGGGGCCTGTGAAACTTATAATATTCCCAAGTTATAGCTCTGTTACTCCAACCATCAGATTAGTTGTGTTCCCTTTGGTCAGAAGTTGGCTCATTCAGCATCTGTATGGTGCATCGTGCCTTTTTAGCTGTAAGAAAAAAAATGGATTTTAATTCAACAAAATGCTTACTCTGTGTACTTTATTGCTGCACTTCAATATATTGTTGGGGCTGCAAACTTCTTCTATGAGGGTTGAATGAAAAGTAATGCCTCCGCCTTCGTAACTCCTCAACAGATGGTTGTACTGGTATGCGGCAGGTACTGGCTTGTTCAGTAGACTCTCCTCTACAGTTCCATTTTGGCAGGAAGCCTTAGCATTGAACAATTGTGTTGTTAAAGTGCAAATTATGGAACCTTGCAGAGACAGTCGGTCAGTGTGACTTAAGCAACGTGAAGTCATTGAATTCTTGACAGCAGAAGGTCAAGAACCCCAAAGAAGATTCATCAGAGAATGCAAGCTGTTTATTGTATAGTGATTGTATTGTTTAGTGATTGTATTGATGTGAGTACTGTGCGTCGTTAGGCAAGTAAGTTTAAACATGTTGAGGTGACACCTTCTGCTGTCAAGAATTCAATGATTGCACGTTGCTTAAGTTGCATTAACCAACCCTCTGCGCAGGGTTCCATACTTCGCACTTTACCAACACAACCATTCAATGCTAAAGATTCCCGCCAAAATGGAACTGTAGAGGAGAGTCTACTGAACAAGCCAGTACCTGCCACATACCAGTACTGCCATCTGTTGAAGAGTTACGAAAGTGGAGGCATTATTTTTTATTCAACCCTCGTAGCTGCTGGTGTTGATATTTTTACCTTACCTCTTTCTCCTACTCTGGATAATTTAACGTACATGTACCAATCTTCTCCTTTGTCCTTCCTTGTTCGTTCTGTAGGGAACATCCTATTGGGGACAAGAGCTTCCAGAGTTATATACGGCAGCAGTCAGAAATCTCAGCCCATTCCATTTGAAGTTTGAAGGAAATCACAAGATGGTGTTACTGAAAGGTTGAACTGAAAAACAAACAAAGAGAAAAGCCAGCTGTAGCAAGATGTACATAACAAGTCTCAAGCTTGCCAAGGCTTGCTAATTGTTCTCCTTTCTCTCTTTCTCTTTTCGTCTCCTTCTCTCTATTGTCAAGAACTGTTACAATAGTTGCTATGCACTTTATTCATCTGGGATTAACAGATGAAGGAACTCTGCCTTCTTGGTGGTTTTTGTCATACATGTTGTGTTTTGTTCTGGGTTTTTTTTAAAAAAAAGTGTTGACCTGGTTTCTTGGAACTTAGTGATCAGTTCAATGATCAAGGTCTGTGGACTTCTTTGGCATCTTCCACAATCTTTTATGTGGTCAAACGCATTTTTCTAAACTTCTTGTTTTTGACTGGCTGACTCCTTTTGTGTTATGCCATAGAGTAATTTGAGAAGACTTTTCAGCATCTGCTTTTTAGGAGAGAGAAGCCCTTCTTTTCTGGGTACAGCCTCTCCACACTGCCACTTGCATTCCAAAGCAGGTAGAAGAGGGCGATATTTCAGTCTTAACATCAGAAGGATAATGTTTGGAGAAAAGTTGGGTTTTTATGAGAAATTATAATGTTTAATGGTACTCCTTAATATTTTTGAGATAAGAAGTTGTTTCAACCAAGGTATTCAGTCCGTTTCTATTTTTGCTATAAAGTGGTGCCATAAATCTTGAACGATACACGTCAAAATGAAGAGACAATGTGCAACTTGTACATAGACATACGGAAATAACTTGGTTTGGATATTTCAGATACGGTTTTTCTTCCTTTTGTAAGCAGGCTTTGCACCTCAAATGCAACATACTTCCTTCATTTGTACTATGTTGGGGAGGGGAAGATGCTTATACCATGGGCAAAGGTTTTGTCATATGTGATAAAAGCATTTGTATCTGTATGACTCTGTGCACATACAGTAGAAAGAAAAAAAATCTACCGATAGGTTAACATGGACTTCCTATGAAATAGAATTGTTTTGAACCTTACCAGGTTCATCCTCAGGGAAATATGAAAAGCTGGAAACTGCTGTATTCTCTTGTAATACCTTTCCTAGAGAGACTGGCTGCTGCAAAATTAATACAAGTATATTTGAGATAGAGAAATGGATGAGAGTGAGGAAAATTCTTGCACTGTGCTTCCTACTGCACATGGTTTCTGCATCCTACACAGAAGTACTATCCATGTAGGAAAACAACATTCCATACAAAGCGAGCTGAAGTGGGAGAGAGCTGTAATTTGGGAATGGCTTGTTATAATCAGGAGACAATGCTGCCTTAACTTTTCAGGGGAAAAGTGTTTGGGGAAGGGGCCCTGTCAACAAGGAATACACAAGGTGTCTTGGACAAAAAAGTTGTGAAGACATTCTGCCCTGAAGTGTTCAAAACAGACATGTGTGTTCTCCTAGTTCTAGCTGATTGGATGGGATAAAAGGTGTGGAAGAAAAGTGATGATATGTGTGTCGTTATTGTTTTTAGTTGCGTTAACACGTGGCTGTACCTTGTTAATACAGTTATGAGTGTAAATGAAGAGAAATGAGTTGTGTACCTCATTCATGCAAATAAATGTTGTTAAGGGTTAGGAATGAAGAAAAGATACAAGTATACGTGATACACACACATCAGTCCCCATCCCATATACAAACACAGTAGCTTGAACCCAGACTGATTTGGTGAACTAATGCTGTCTTACATCTCCTAGATTTCAGTTGACCCAAGTGTAACTAATCTATGTGTACCTGCATAGATTTGAGCCCCCTCTACACTTGCCATTTATGCTGGTGTGGGCTTGGATCAGTCCACAGGCTGCCACAAAATGAAAAACCATTAATGTGGTTGTACCCCAGGTTAATATAACTTAGTGGAAAGCCCAAATCCTGCACCAGGATGCAGGTTTCCACCTGAGTCATTGCAGTCCAAACACCTGCAGCCAGTTCCTACACAAAACCAGCCATAGGTGTCCCAACAACCATCATGTGCTCCCTGGAGTCAGGTGGCCCGGGAATGCAGGATGGCTGTCCCTTCCCACTCCTCCCCTACTTAGGCAGGGGCCCATATTCTACCGACCTCATACCGAGTCACTGCTGGCTACAGCATTGACAGGGTAGCCTATCTTTTGTCCTCTTTCCATGTCTTGTGACTTGAAAAGGAGTATTGGAGAACAGAAAGAGGGGCTTTTACTCTTCACTCACTCCACCCTCCTTTGTAAATCACAAGACATAGGAGGTCAACAAAAAACCCAACCAAAGATAGGCCACTCTGCTGCTGATGGGAAGGTGGCAGTTCAGCCCTTACTTAATGGTGCTGAACTGTCTTCAGTGTGGTTGGACAATAAGGATGTCCTCCTGTTGCCAAAGTGACTCAGCATTTTGGACACCAATTCCAGTTTATTTTAATGGACTGTGTAGAACTTCCCAGTCACACACTTATGCATTACTGCCAGGATTGTTGCACTGCCAGAACTACTGCTTTCAGCAGAACCATGAGGAGCAGCCATTCCCCCTGTTTCCTTAGCCCTTTATATATCCTCAAAAGCTGCTTTGCAGTGATAGGAAGCTCTCCAGACCATCTTTTCAGGTGGAGTGTGGAGGGTAGGGAAAGAAAGTCCCTTTGCACTTAAAGGAGTGTTGTTCACAGTAAGATTTAGGCCATTATACGTATTTTGCTGTTTAGTTGTACGTCATAGCCTCTCTTTAAAGGTTTTGGTCAGTGCATGCTGGGCTTTGATCAAAGCCTAAGTAATTTGACAGACTTTAGAGTATAAACGGGGTTGTTTTTGGACCATACGCAATGAGCTCTCAGCTTGATGTGATGTTCTGTACCTCTGCATAATAGTGGTTCTAAACAAGACATTAGTATTCTCCAAGTGTCTGGAGCATAAAAGAAATATTGTACGTAAATGTTTCCTTACCAGCCCCACAATGTTCAAATCCCATAAAAATCAAACATACGGTTTCATGCAATCTCTATTTTATAAAAGCGGTTACACATTTTTGTTGTGGTTTTGTTTCTTTTGCATTATAGTACATTGAAAAACTATAAGATAGTCATCTTCCAACATGGAAGCTGGGAAAGAACTGTATTTCGTGTCCTGAACTGCCATTGAATGCCAGTTTTTTATGTATTTGTTACTTAATAATCCTTGAATTAAATACTAATGAACTGCATTGTGTGTTGTATTTGCCAATTAAAAGAAATGTTTATTTCTGAAAAGTGTGGTTGTGTGTGATGCAATCTAAAATTTTGAAGAAAAAAATGGAGTCTTTGGCGTATTTCTAAGGGACAGCCACTAATACAATTACCCCCATTGATTTTATTAAGAAATGCTTGTTTTCATTGGTTTCCAGCTTCAATGACTTCTAGATCTGCTAAGATGGCTGTCAAATTTTCATTTACCTAGGAGTAAGTACCATAAAAGATAAAGGTTTTGTTTGCATATAATCACAGTGCTACAGTTCAACAAATGAAACCCAATAGTGCACCAATCTGAAAGGCAAATTTCCTATTTTTATTTGGGGACTATTTTAATTCTGGTGTGCTTGTGTCTTACAAGGCAAAGAAAGAAAACATTACAGGTGGATATTTCTTTTAGCAATGAATATTATGTATGGTTTACTAAATTGTATATCATTTTGTACTTCCTTGAGTACCTTTTTTTAAAAAAAAAATCTTTATTGGGTTTTGGTAGTGTCAGGTATTTTCCTCTACCTCTGTAGAGTATTGGAAGTACCCCCAAGCCATGAGCCGGTCAGGCCCCAGGTTCCCTGAACAGTGCAGGAACAGCACTGTGTAAGTAGAAGGAGTCCACACACAGACGTTAATTCACTGCAGTATTCAGGAAGGTATTATCTTCAGTTGCTTCAGAAGATATATACAAATCTATATACACAACAATACAATCTATCTCAGTTCCTCTACCGTCTCTCCACTCTTCCCAACTCCCTCAGGGCACAAGGGAGGTGCCATCATCTATTCCCTCCACACAAGTCACGGGTCTCTGCTACTCCATAGGGCATAGACATGAGGATTCAGTAGTTTGCCATGTGCTCCTTCAAGGTAGTTTGCCCCAGTTCCTTCAAGGTCAAGCCAGTCACTTCAAGGATAACATCCATCCATCTTGCCCTTGGTCGTCCCCTCTTCCCCTTTTCCTTCAATTTTCCCAAGCATTATTTTCTCCAAGGTATTCTGTTTTCTCATTATGTAGCCAAAGTACATCATCCTTGCCTCCAATATCCTTCCCTCCAGTCTGGTTGCCATAATCTTGGGGTTTTTTTATGTTTAACTGCAACCCAGCTTTTGCACTTTTTTCTTTCACCTTGGTTAGATGGCTCCTTGGCTCCTCCTCACTTTCAGCCATCAAAGTGGTATCTACATTGTTCAGGTTTATTCCAGCAATTTTAACTCCAGCCTAGAATGCATCAAGCCCCTCACATCGCATGTCTTCTGCATACAAGTTGAATAGGTAGGGTGAGAGTATACAGCCTTGCCGTACTCCAATCTTGAGCCAGACTGTTATTCCATGATCTGTTCTTACTGTTGGTACTCGGTCGATTCCTCAGGAGACAGGTGGCTTGGTATCTCCATATCACTGAGAACTTGCCACAATTTATTATGGTCCACACAGTCAAAGGCTTTAGAATAGTCAATAAAACAGAAATACACATTTTACTCCATTATGCAGCAGGTATTCATAATTTGCTCTCTCGTTCCTCTGCCTTTTCTAAACCCAGATTGTACATCTGACACTCATTCCATGTATTGCTGGAATACACCTTGCAGGATCTTGAGCATTACTTTACTGGCCACTGTAAGTGGCACTATATAAAAGTTTGAGCATTCTTTAGCGTTTCCCTTTTTTAGTATGGGGATATAACTTGATTTTTTCCCCATTCTGATGGCCATTCTTGAATTGACTACTAATCAATCAGTAAAAAATGAGAGATAGCTGCATTGGCTTTAAAACCAATACCAAAACCATATTCTGTTAACACTATTATTAGACCAAACAAAAAAGGGAATGGAAATATATGCAAGGTTTCAAAACCTGCAGCCCTTTTCATCAGGCAAGATTATTATGAAAACCAAACTATGGAGAGAAGAAAGTAAAACGCTTCATATTTGGAATCGTAGTACAGGCAGTCCCCAAGTTACAAACACCTCACTTTACAAACTACTCATAGTTAAGAGCTGGGTGAGACATGATGAAGTGAAAGAAATCTACCCCAGGAAATGAAGTTCACTCCTGGAAGTGTTATTATTGGGGTGGGGGAGGTATCTCCACTGTAGCTTTATCAACAACCCTTGTTTCCACAAGAAGCCATTTTTTTTCAAAATCCAATTATCACAGGGACAGAAAGTGAGCTGAAATCTTCTGAACAGAGGGGCACAGGCAGCAAAACACACACCACAGGGGAATTAACCATTCACTGTGCTATCTAATGCTAAAAGATATATATATTTGACTGGAGTTAGTTTTTTAAAAGGTACCTGTTCTGACTCACATCGAAATTCAACTTAAGGACAAATCTACTGAACCTATCTTGTTTGTAACTTGGGGACTGCCTGTATTTTTAGTTGAAGGGTGAGGTACTTCAAAATTTTCAATCAGAGAGCACCGTCATTATTGCTATTATTTTATTATATTTATCATCTCTTATGTCCCGACCAATTTCCATGAGGGGATTCTGGACAGATTCCAACATACACAAACACAAAGGCAAACATTCAATGCCTAGAAACAATGAAACACAGATCAAGGTAAATGCTTCCGTTTCCAGCTCTGAAAAGTGGTGCTTATCTCCATCTTCGGGGGGGGGGGTAATGTCTGTAAACACCTCCTAGGTCATGTGGCCAGCAAGTCTAACAACAGTTCTGGCCCAGCTTATCTGTCCAAACATATTTATTTATTTATTTATTTATTTATTTGGTGCATTTATTGACCGCCGCTCTCAGCCCTAGGGCGACTCGCGGCGGTGTACAGCATATAAAAACAGATTACAAAAACAGAAACAACAACAAACCATATAACACACTTAATCTAAATTACACTAAACTAATCCGCACCGTCACCACATAGGGATCTACCAGTCTCATAATCCGTATTTCGTTCCGATTGTCATTGTCATTGTCAGTTAGTCTGGGACTAGTTAAATGCCTTCTCGAAGAGCCAGGTCTTTAGGCTCTTATGGAAAGCCATGAGAGAGGGCGCCTGTCTGATGTCAGCAGGGAAGGCATTCCACAGCCGGGGGGCCACCACTGAGAAGGCCCTCTCTCTCGTCCCTGCCAGACGCGCCTGCGAGGCAGGCGGAATCGAGAGAAGGGCCTCCCCAGACGATCTCAAGGTCCTCGTGGGCTCATAGGCCAAGATGCGGTCCGAGAGGTATTTTGGGCCGGAACCGTTTAGGGCTTTGTAGGATAACACCAGCACCTTAAATTGGGCCCGGTAGCAAATCGGCAGCCAGTGGAGCTGGGACAACAAGGGCGTTGTATGCTCCCTGCGTCCCGCTCCCGTTAGTAACATGGCTGCCGCGCGCTGAACTAGCTGAAGCTTCCGGGCCGTCTTCAAGGGCAGCCCCACGTAGAGAGCGTTGCAGTAGTCAAGGCGGGATGTGACCAGTGCATGTACCACCGTGGCCAAGTCAGACTTCCCAAGGTACGGGCGCAGCTGGCGCACCAGCCTAAGCTGTGCAAATGCTCCCCTGGTCACCGATGAAACCTGGGGATCCAGGCTCAAAGATGAATCCAGGGTCACACCCAAGCTGCGAACCTGCGCCTTCAAGGGGAGTGCGACCCCGTCCAGCACAGGCTGTAACCCTATACCCTGTTCGGCCTTGCGACTGACCAGGAGTACCTCTGTCTTGTCTGGATTTAATTTCAGTTTGTTCGCCCTCATCCAGACCATTACAGCGGCCAGGCACCGGTTCAGGACCTCGACAGCCTCCTTAGTAGCAGGTGGGAAGGAGTGACAGAGTTGGACATCATCTGCGTACAGATGACACCGCACCCCGAAACTCCGGATGATCTCACCCAGCGGCTTCATGTAGATATTAAACAGCATGGGGGACAGTATAGAACCCTGTGGGACACCACAGGTCAAAGGCTGTGGTGTAGAACAGGAGTCCCCCAATAACACCTTCTGGGTGCGACCCTCCAGAAATGACTGGAGCCACTGCAGAGCAGTGCCCCCAAGACCCATTTCCGCAAGGCGCCCCAGAAGGATACCGTGGTCGACGGTATCGAAGGCCGCTGAGAGGTCCAGGAGCACCAACAGGGACACACTCCCCCTGTCTAGCTCCCGGCGCAGATCATCCACTAAGGCGACCAAGACCGTCTCGGTTCCATGTCCCGGTCTGAAACCAGACTGTGCCGGATCCAGAATATCCGTGTCTCTCAAGAATACCTGGAGTTGTGAGGCCACCACGCTTTCCATGACTTTGCCCAAAAAGGGGAGATTGGAAACAGGCCGAAAGTTGTCCAATTTAGTGGGGTCCAATGATGGTTTCTTCAACAGCGGTTTTATAATTGCTTGTTTTAAGCACGCTGGAATCTTGCCTTCCCGAAGGGAGGCATTAACCACCACCGTTACCCACTCAGCCAATCCCCCTCTGGCCTCCTTCAGAAGCCAGGATGGGCAGGGGTCCAGGATGCACGTGGTAGGCCTCATTCCTCCAAGTATCTTGTCCACATCCTCGGGTTTCACAAACTGAAAAGAATCCATCAAAATAGGACAAGCAGGTGCTCTTGTCACATTTGTATGTTGTTGAACTGCTAGGTTGGCAGAAGCTGGGCCTAACAACAGGAGCTCACCCTGTCCTGCAGATTCAAACCATTGAACTACCAGTCAGCAAGTTCCCCAGCTTAGTGGTTTAAGCCATCACGCTACCGCGGTCCCGGTGAAGTCACAGTGCTATTAATTGTGTCATGTGAAATAGTGTGCTCATAATTATCTTCACTGAGTTCTAACTTCACAGGTTCTTTTGTCAGAAGAGACAGAATAGCTGGATTGTATTAATACTAATAATAACTATGGATATTTTTGATGCTGAGTGAAATACCTGAAGTTCCATCAGTGCAGCATCTACATCTAAAGAAGCTTTCTCAGAACCTAGAAACATAGAACATAGTATGGGAGGGTACCAAGCTGCTTCTGTCTACCTATTATGATGTCATGACAACTCTATGTGAACAAAAGCCACACTTTTTTTTAATCACAC